ATGGGCCCTAAGCAAGCAATTGCAGGGCTGCGCTTTCATACGACACCTTTAAGTTGACGCCCAGGCTGTATCCGCGTGGCGTTGTGTGCGTGTGTAATGCGTGTGCATTGCGTGTCGCGTGCGTTCTGTGAGCCCGTGCCGCGTGTATTTGTGAACGCGAAGTTGATATGCAGCGTGTGCAAGTGCTTATGTCTGAGTGTGTGTATATATGTATATTTTATATAGGGGCCGTCCATAAATGACGTCACGCACCTAGGGGGGGGGGGGGTCAGATATTTGTGACGATGTGTGACGAGGAGGGGGGGGGGGGTTTGAGAAATGTGACGTCACATCAAAAAGCGCAACTTTTAATAAATATAGACAACACGTTCTATTTAATTAAATACTTTTTAATAAATGTTTTCTCCTACAACATCAGAGTGCAGCGCCACATTAAATACGCACTACAATGACAATAGTTTAAAGCGATTTGAAGCATGTTTTATTTTTTTGGGGGGGGGCAGAGCTTTGTGACATCATATTTGAGGGGGGGGGTCTGACTTTTTGTGACGCCGTGTGACGAGAGGGGGGGGGGGTCAAAAATCGTCCAAAGTCGTGTGACGTCATTTATGGACGGCCCCATATGCCTTAATAGGCGCTCGCTAACATTACTTACCCACCCGATCCATCCAGGCGTGAGACACGGCTCATCGGCATGACAACGCGATCCCCAATGAAGTTTCGGTTCAATGTCTGTCCATGATTACACATCACCACCAACCAGCGGCCAAGCGGCATTTTGCACGCGACTTTTAGCCGCCGCCTCGAGGTCACATCAGCCTTTACAAAAAGGAAAACACCCGGTCCTGTGACATGATCAGCATCAGCACTGGGAAGACAAAGACGGGCTGCTGACTCAGGCAATCCCTCTGTGCAGTGTCAGCCTGAGTTAGTGCTCGCTGACGGTGCTTGCGCGTGGCCAATACGACCACGTGTCTTTGTTTTTGTCCGTGGGGGAGCGGTCGTGTAGCAGCTAAGAGCGCTGCGAAGCCCGGTCACCCGAGTTCTATTACCCGCTCACGGCCAACACCGGTGACGATTATACGAACCGGTCCTGGGCCTTCCCTAGGTCGACTCAGCCTCAAATTAGCACCTGGTAAAACATCACCAATAGGGAGACAAAGGCGGCCGGGCGTGGTGTTGGACAATCATCCTCTCGTGTGCCCCGACGGCCTTCGGAGGTGCTCGTCGACAGCACTTGCCCCAACAGTTTGTTGAGGCTAGACGGGCGATCTTTGTCTTTGTCTGTGAGCGCGTGCATGGAATTGCGTGCGATTCGAACGAGGGGAAACGATGTAACTTGCTACGTTTGCTGTTCAGCAGGGGAGGCAGGGGTTGGCTCTGCCTGACCTTGGCGTAATGGCCTCTGCGTGCATTAGTCGTACTGTGGTTAGAATGGGCTGCTTTAAACGTAATTGGCTCATACATGTATGCAGGGGCCAACATTATGTATCTGTATGTGTGCGTGTTCACACACAATGCCGATATAGATTGAGAGATGTAAGGAAGAACACGTGGATTAGAGAACATAGACCGTTTAAAGGCATTTTTTTGTATTCCTGGAAGATTGAGGGGGCAGTGGCAGAACTCGCCCATGGGAGCCACGTAGCGGAAATTATGTTTAAACAATTCTAATGAGATGACATGAAATATAGATACGAGATGTAGGCAAGGGATCGAGGTGTACGTATTGGGTAGGTACATGTGGACAAAAATAGAGATGAGTGGATGTTACGTTAATTAACATATTGTCATTTATATTTTAATGTGAGTTCATATTTGCCGCACCCACATTTTTCACGAATCCGGAGTCACCACTCGAGTTGTTGGGGGCCATTCGATATTGGTTCGTTTCCTGTGACGTTCGGAATCGCCTCTCTTGATTTGACAAATGCCGGCACATCGGTAAACGAATTTAGATCTTATAAGCATTATACAAACCTGTTGTGGAAGGAAATGAAACAAGAACATAAAAAACAAAAAAATATGCTCATGTTAAAATATATTATCGGTATCCCATGTTACAATTCCATGGCAGTCAATTTGACAATATACATAACCGGACTGACTTTCTCCATAGGAATATGGAATTTACACTTTAGGCTTCGGACCAACGCAAAGCTGAGCAAAGCACTTACGCGTTTACACACGGGGCAACTTCGGAGAAAAACAGAACGTTTCTCGTAACACGTGCATTCATTTGTGACGTTCCTACAGAAGTTCATCTCCAAGCCACAGGGATGCTGATGTCAAGCTACAATAGGGTGGACGACACGGCGTATTTACTGCCTTGCAGACCATCATCGAGGATGCATTTATTGATGGCGAATGATGCCTTCACCTGAGTCTAAGGCGAAGCAAGCACTACCAAAGTGCTTGGCTGATACATAGTTCACAGTAAACAGAGGGGTTTTAATAATAAAGGAACTCGTAAGATGTGTATTGGAGGAAGAACCACACAACTCAGTGGAAGAAGCTCCTGAACTCGTAAACTTGGCAGATGTTTGATGCTGACGAATAATACATTTAATATGTAGGCACTTTAGAAGTTGGAAACAATAATTGCATTGCCTGATCCCGATTATTGTGTAATGTGAGGATATATCCGGCTCACTGACGTATCATAACTCGTCATGATGATTGGCTCTGCCGGTCCTTGTTCATAGCCAATGGGGGGAAGCCTAGGGGCGTGGCCCTGACGTAATGCAAAGGTAACAGCTATAAGGAGAGGATTGGTTCTGCTGGCTTTGGCCACAGCCAATGGGGAGATGAGTCAGGGGCGTGGTCCCGGGAGCCTACGAGGGAGTCCTGGAATTTCCATGGAGGCTAACCAGGATTGGTGGAAACGTACCACGTGACCCGGGTATTAAATAGGGGTAGAGACGAACAACGCGAACGGAGGAAGGGGGCTACGCGTGAGCGGGGCTCCGGGTTGCCACGTGGCAGTGCGTCTCTATCTATCCCTCTCACGCTGCCTGTCAGCAGCAGTGAAGGAAAGCTGTAATGCAAGTTTAATAAAATACCGGATTCCAGAAGTCGCCTCAACGACCTTTATTACAATTGTATTGGACGTACTGTATGACAGACCCTCGACTCTGTAGCTCTATTTTGTCCTAAAAAGTGTAACACTGAACATTTTAGACAGGTCAATTTGCAATATAACTTTGGATGGGGGCCCAAGATCAAAACCCACTCATATAATTTGTGGATTTCTACCTCGTATATTGTTTTAAAATGTGAACAATTGAATCATTTCGATACCTGACACATCAGTATAATCAGGATTACATAAAACTAAATTGATTTATATTATTTAAAGACTCATTTCACCTTTTTTTATTTGGAAATGCCATACTTTAGGACAGCAAGTACCATATAAAGTTATCCCTCGTTTTATGCGGTAAATGCTTTCCAAAAAAGGGCGCACAAAGCGAAACTGCACGAGACAGCTGCCTACCAAGTAGTGCACACAGCACACGCGGCAGATATAGTACACACAATGTTGTCCCACGTCCGACCGCAAAGCCGTAGGTGAGTGAATTAAAACCTCATGAAGCGAATCTTGGGGTGAAATAGGTTTGCCGCATATATGCGAAATCGCGAACCGAACCCGCAGAAAGCAAGGAGAAACCTGTATATATTAACTAAACATGTAAATATCAACGATAAATACAAAAGGGCTTTTTAAGATATTCCTGACGGGGGGTGGGGGGGTTCTAGTTTTGGTTCACTGTCTCGTCCTCTGTGAAGGGTGGTTTGCATTTCATCTGATATATTCATGCATTTTGGCCCTCAAAAGCTGGGGGAAGGCCGAAATTGGTTAATTGTACAATCATACAATCGTTTGTTTTAAAAACGTCCAAATGTGACTGCAACGCAAGAAAATACAAAATAGTGAGCATATTTAAGTTGTAGATACATCCAGCCATAGGCAGAGGGGGGAAAAAGGTCTTAAGCCTGGACTTGAAACATATTCCTGCAGAGGGAGCTGGTAGGAACGTTGGGTTGCTCGGTCAATGGCCAGGGTCAACGGCGGCGTGGTGTATTCCGCAAATATGGCCGACTGTGAGGGCGGGCACAAGCCGGCGTGAGTAGGTTAAACGTTGAGTTTTATAAGGGCACCACGGGGTGACCAGCCCCTCCCCACCCAGCCCCACCCCTCCCACCCAGCCCCACCCTCCCCACCCAGCCCCTCCCCACCCTCCCCTCCCAACCCAGCCCCTCCCTCCCCACCCAGCCCCTCCCTGCACGATGGACGGACACAATAATCACCTGTGGGCTGGTGGAACCAGTGGGTTCCTACCAGTATAAGGGGCAGGGAATCCACAGCCCTAATGGCTGTGGGAGGGAGTTCCAGACGAAGGGGCAGCATCGGGGAAAGAGCGACCTCCTACTGAGCAAACGTTGGACAGGGGGCTTGTTTGATGAAGCGACGAGTCCGTGGAGAGGAGTTCAGTGAGATGAGAGGGGAGAGGTAGGGAGAGGCGAGTCCCTGAAGAATCTTGGAGTTTGTGTGATCTTGAAATGTATTCAGGATTGGCTTTGGAGCCAATGGAGCGACTAGAGTGTTTAGGTGATGTGGTCACATGTATGGGTGTGGGTGACGAGTCTGGTACAGGTATTTTGTATCATCTCTAGTATGGAGATGAGCAGTTTTGGGAGGCCATAGCGGATAATTGCAATGGTTGAGTTGTGGTCATAGCTAAGTTGGTTGAGACCATTAACTGACTCTACTTGGGTAAATGGGTTAATTAATGGTGACTGCTAGCATACAAATACAATATCTCGGGTGCTGACTCAATCGCTGTAAACAGCTTCCTGTGTCAATACAACAACAGAGTTGCAACTCAGTCAGAATCCAAACTGAGAGCAGAGAAATAAGATCATAGCTCACTCCATTGTAAGCAACATGAATTTGTAATCTCTCCACACCAAACCATATAAACTCCAGGACCATTGAATGGAATCAAATGTCAAAGTTTAATGCTTCTTTATGAACTAAAACAATTGGTTAGTATGTACTACTCAACATGCATTTGCTAAGCGTATTACAAAAAACACAAAGGAAAATTAAGAAAGACAAGCTGGTCAAGCCAATACTATATGTGGGCCTTCACACATCTAAATACTCTCTAATAGATCACAGCGGGGAGGGAGTTCGTAGTCTGTTATCGTTGTTATTAAGTCTGGGCGATCACAACATTAAGATAATCGCTACAGCCTTCAGCATAGCTTGTCCTGTTACGGCAACATTGGGTATAAAGGTGTTGTCTTGGAAAGTGTGGCTAAGAAAGCTCAAGATGCAGTAATAACTGGGGCTGCACGATGCAGGTGAATGTGTAATGACAGGTGGGGCAGACACTCGCTGATGCCCAGCTTACGCAAATACAGAGGTACCGAATGCCAAACTTGGAACGTTCACGCAATGCAAATAACATTCTGCCAGCAGACCTGACCCCTTCAAATATTGCCAGCGAAGAGGAAAAAAAAATCCATACAAATTGCTGAGCACTGAAATGCCAATAGCTGTTGGAAGCAATGCAAGCCATTGTTATTTGTGGTGTCCTCTTTCATGATCATACCCTTTTCCAAAACATGATGTTTCATACTTAGGACAGTGTCTGAATATAACTATTTCATAGCGTTGCATTTTTTTTTTTCAGAACTGCCCGTGCTGATTTAATATCATCGAACTCGCGCCTTTGACCTGATATTTTACTTGCTGGGGCTGTCAAGAGCGAGACCGGCAAATTCATTTGAATCCATTAAACATCTGCGGGGAAGACAACGGCGGTTTACCGTTTGCCTTTAAGACACAGAATGGGTGGCTTCTACAGAATAGTACTTTAGTAGTACAGCGCATAAGCAGTGACTCAAGATGCAGCCCAGAAATGATGTGACTGACACCTGTTCAGATGCTTCCAAACGACGTGTAGAAATTAAGTGAGAATATTTGAACAGTCATCACAACCGCCCAGTTTGGAAGTGGACGCAGAGCAATGGGAGTAGGTCCCCCTCTTAAAGCTTAAACAATTAGTCAAATGTGGACGTCAGTTGCTTCTCGACCATTGTTAAAGAAAGCAGCCTTTCCCTTTTAAATCACTGGTATATCAAACAGTGATGAATACAGAACATGATCTTAGATCGCTTTAATAACCGCTCTAACAGCTTGATTACGATCTTTTCACATTACTAATGTCGTGTTGAGTTCTAAAGCTATGTCTTTGCTGATGATACCGAGAAGTTGGAATTTGAAACTGGTTCAACGTTTCCCATTAAATGGGGGCATCCATTGGAATTGGTTTATGTGGTCAAACTAAGCTGACGAGGCTTAGTAAAGTTTAAAACCATTCCATGCTTGACTTGTGTTTTTATTAAAAACATGCCTAAGGGAATCAAGATAATAATGCCCTCCGACTTACTTCTGTTCGACAATCGAACCTTATTACCTATTTAGTGGCATTTTTTGAAACGGCAAACAAAATTAAGGTATGGTTATCAAAATTACACCACAAAAACCAAAGCAGCTTACTTTCATGTTTCTGTATGTATGCATGTTGAACTTACTTCGCATCCATACGTAGCCAACCATGCTAATTGGAGTTGGCTAAAACAATATCGTTCCAAAAGAAAATCCCTCCCTAAAATTAGGTCAAAAATAACTCTGCAACAGGAACAAACTGGGAAGTTCAAGCCACACAAAATCACGACTGTGATGTTCGTATTTAACTTTCAACCATTTCGTTGTCTGTGTGAACACATTTGAACCTGTCAGCCATGTTGTCAATGCCAAAACGAAGTCATTGTCTACACACGCACAATAAAATCGTACACCGTAACGCAGCAAGGGTGGTATAAGACATTCCTTATCGATACCGTTCTTCTGCCTTGCTGGCAAGCAAGCTTCTACGACACTTCTCTAGGTGAAGCTTACAACAAAATGCTAGCTGTATTATTAATAGCAATACATACTTAAAATAAGAGAGTATACAAAATGTATAAGCATTGTAACTGAAAATTATTACTTTTAAAAACTAAACTATCAAACAGATTGACATTTTCACATTGAGAAAATTCTGCTTGTGGGGGCCTGCATACGATGGCCTTGCACAGCAGATGGTGACAGAGTGTTTAGCATCTTCTAGATTTGAAGCTTTCGTGACTGCAAGGATTCATACTCTTAGTTCTTTCGGTAAAGTCACGTAGGTAAAAAATTAAATTAATAAAAATAAAACGTCCACATCGCCGACTCTCGTGTACCACTTACTGCCTTCTTTTAGCCCCGCCCCACTCCCTCCCGATACGTTCCATTCATTGGCTACCACATTCTGATGAGCGCCCCCCCCCCCTCTCCTCCCCCCTCAACTTGCATTTAAGGGCGTACATCTTGAATCCTTGCCTCACTTGATGCAGCAAATCTGGCTGTGACGGTCCCACCTGATGACGGAGACTTGTGTTGCCTCCGAAACGTCGTGATTTTTATTGTTTTATTTTTATTTATTTCATTTTTTACCTACGTGACTTTACCGAAAGAACTAAGAGTATGTTAAGCATCTGCTTTGCACAGGACACGCACAATGCGGTGGTAATAAAAGCGTGGTGGGATTTGAACTAAACCATTACACCGAGTGCCACGATTAACTTCAGGGAGCCACAACCTTGGCCATGAACACCAAACTCTCCAGAGTTCTGTTACTAAATATTTCTCCAGATGTTTGTGTACTCTTCCATGTTCACCCACCTTATGAAAAGTGATCAACGTTGGCATGTTAGGTTAACAAATAAATGCGATGCAAGTATCGATTTATTTTGTATGTTCATCACCGATTGCGATATCACAATTTGTATTGTTATAGGAGTCATGTAACAGAGAGAATAAAAAGTAATTCCAGAACTCCTATAATCAGCAGAGGCTAGAGGGGTGGCAGCATAAAATTACACAAAACTATTTTATATAGGATCCCCTTCAATCATAGTCCTTTATTACACAAGAAACCAAGAATTAGCAGTGATTTGTTTGGCAATGTGTTCTACCAATATCAATCTCTAACACTGCCCTGCTGACAATGCATTCCCTGTTAATGTCAGGGGTGAATGCATGTCTTTTTAGAGGGGACATTATGTTGTCCACCGACTTTAGAATGGACATTTAAAAAAATGTTTGCGTCACTATTGGGACAAGTGGGCCAATGTCTGCCGGCGGAAGGCGAACTAAATTTGCCTGGAAGATTAACGACTGTATACTGTGACAAATAATAAGGGGTTAGAGAGAGGGAGTGCATTAAAAAGATGGGGCACTGGTAACTAATAGGAATTCACACAGCCTCAGGGAAAAGGACATCTCAACTACATACACATGATTAAAATTGTGTTACTACTCGATTACTCGTCGTGGTGTGGCTACGACTAGAGGCCTGGATCGGCACAAAATCCCACGAGGCTCCGGGAGCCCAAACCAGGCACTCACGAGGAATCCTAACAAATGTGCACGCGCGCGAGACCCACGCGCGTGCACACACACGCGCACGCAGAGCACCTTCAATCGTCGGCGAGCCACGGTGTACGTCGTAAAGCACGCCGGGCTCAAAAAATAAGAAAACTTAAAATACCATCGTTGTGCCGCTAAACTAGCGTCGACACGCACGCAACGAGACCGGACATATTAATATCACTCATGAAGGCCCAATAAACAAACGTTAAAGAAGAACAAAAAACTGTATCAAAGACACCTCAAGGCTTTTCCTAACTAGGGTCTGCGCCGTCGTACAGGCCTAGTGCCGTCTGGGCCTCATCTTTCGTGCGGGCGATGCCGCAACAACACCCTTCACGGCGGTGGCCTTGCGCGCGGCCTTGCGCGCGGCCGGAGATCCTTTCTTGCTCGCCTTAGCGACCGCAGAACCTGCCGCCTGCTTTTTGCCGGCGGTTTTGGGCGTCGCGTCGCTCTTGGCGACGGCTTCAGCCTTGGGCTCGGCGGCTTTGGCCGGAACCTTCGCCGAAGCGACTTTGAACCTGGTCGGAGTCTTGGCGGCGACGACGACGACGACGGGGGGGGGCGCCGGCGCGGCGACGGAGCTGCGAGATGCGCGGCCGCCGCGTTTTTGCCGCCCGGCAGGGGCAGCCTTGCCTCGCGACGCCGCCTGCTTGGCGGGGGCGGCCGCGACGACAGCTGGCGGGGCAGCGGCGGAGCGGCTCGCGCGCGCGCCGCGCTTGACCGGCGCGCGGGCCTTGGCGGCCGTGCTGCGCTTGCGACTGTGGGCGGCGCGGCCCGACGAGGCAGAGGACCGACGCGGGGTCTTCTTGGCGAGCACCAAGCGAGGTCTGGGGGCACAGGTACAAGGTCAGGGCTGTGAGTACTCTTGATGCGCAAACTCCAACAGATTGCGCACTTCAGTTGGCGGTTGAAGTTCCAAGTGGATTGCAACCCTCAAAGGAATGGTGCCGCTCCCCGTGGTTGCCACCCCCCCCCACCCCGATCCGTGGATCAGACAAATCACCGAGGACACGGGTGTATGCCGCAACAGTCCTTCGCCGACTACACGCGATGATTGATTGTGGTGCTAAAGCTATGGTTATGACAGCAGCCTTGAAGGCGAGTGTATTCGTCCTTTGGTTGCTACACCAACCTTAATGTTAGTGCTAAAGGTCTTGTTAATATAACAGACCTTAGCGCTGGTTTGCTAATCCCACTGTTAAGATAATTATTGTGCTGCTGATATTGTTACGACAGCAGGTGCAGGACAGGGGATGAGCCGTCGCACCTCTTGCGTGCCCGAGCATGCCTTGGCTCAGAGTAGTCGCTCTCAGACTCCTCGTCCTCATCATCGTCGTCGTCCTCATCATCGTGCTCTTCCTCCTCTTCATCCTCGTTGACATCTTCCATGTCGTCATCGGTGTCTCGGCCGGCTCGGCCCTCCAGCATATCCTTGTCCTCTGGGAAGAGAATCAGGGGGCTGCAGAGATGCACAGGTACAGGGTTAGAGTGTGGGTGCACCGTGAGTGGAAGTACGAAGTGTGACGTGTCTGTGTTTGAGGAGCTGTGCGAGTGTGCGTGTGAGGTGTGAGCATGTGGGTACGTGCAGGTACGTGCAGATACGTGGTGTATATGAGGTTGTGTGTTGTGTATGTAAGGTGTGGGGTTTAGGTGCGTGGATTGACTGTGTGGTTGTGTAAGGTGTGGGATGTGGGTGTGTGGATGCACTGTGTGGTTGTTTATGGTGTGGGATGTGGGTGTGTGCATGCAGTGTAGTTGTGTATGTACGATGTGGGTGTGTGCATGCATCGTGTGGTTGTGTGAGGCACAGGGTAAAGGTGTGTGGGGCACCTGGGGTAGTACGGAAATGCGAGGCGGTAGGTTCCACTGAAACCGTGACCCGAGATCTGATCGATCCAGCCGTTACGCACGCACTTATGCAGCACGCGCTTCAGCACGTGGGCTGTACACAAACATAAGTACACACGCACAAAAAAAACATCAATCAAGAAACAAAGATAAAGATTCCTCAAGTGGCCATACATACGATGAAAATAAGAATAGGTTTTACCCCCTCGTATGCCGTACCAGCCTTCATAAGTGCTCGCCAACAACACTTGCCCCAACAGTTCTGTTAAGGCTATACGGGGGATCTTTGTCTTTGACTGTAATGAGTGATCAGGCTTAAAACTAAGTCATACATACTGTTGGAGTAAGTGCTTCTGGCAAGCATCTCCATGAAGGCCGACTTGGCACACGAGGGGCTGCCAAAACTATGCCCGACCTCCTTCGTTTTCCAAGTGCCAATATTTCCACACCTCACCAAGTAATCGTTCAACGCCGAGTCATCCTCAGGGAGACCTAACACTAGTGCATATGTTTGCTACTCATCAGACTCTTTATTTAGACTGGATTAATCTAATGAGCTATTTTTTCAGTGATGTTGCCCATTACTACTATAATAGCCCAAAAATGTGTAACGTGTGTGACGTCACTCCACATGCCGCACCCCCTCGACCCCCCCCCACCCCCCCCCTCATTAATAATAAAACAATCACGAGCGGGTGGATTTTTTCACTCAAACGGAAAAAGGTCGAACGGAAAGACATTTTTTATCGCAAAGTCGCTTCGAATATCACGTTTCCTTACAGAAAGTGACGGTTAAAAATTAATATATGCAGGACATTGCTACATCCATACGTGATGTCACTGCAAAAGCGCCCCCCGCCCCGTCATTACTATCATAAGCAAGACATTTATTTACGCAAATTCGCTTTAAATTAGACGTTTCTTTATTGAAAGTTAATCAGAAATAATTATACGCAGCAACAAAGTGTATTTGGTGTCTTTATTTATTTCTTCAGCACCTGAAACAAAAGGCAAGTCTAATTTTTGCTTCTAAATTATGATAAAATATAAACATTTCTCTGTGATTTTCCAGACATTGTATTGAATTCAAATTGATTACAACCCCAGCGAGCGAAAGCAGAAGAAAATAAAGTATCAAGGCAGTGATTTTGAACTAATTGAAGGAGAGTTAAATGCAGTCCTATAGTGGCAAAACTAGGATAGCAGCGGTGCCGGCGGTGCTCTTGACAACATTTAACTCTCTGTGACAAACGGGGCCACATCTACAATCATCTTTTTTTTTTTTCGTCGCAGCGCCCACGCAGCCTTACCCTTGACGCCATCCGCAGCGAAGTGCTTGCGTAGTGCCGTGGCGGACGCCGTTTTGGGCTCATTCATCGCCACAATCGCCGTTGAAATGGCACGCTCCAGTGGCTGCCGTGGAAACGGAGACCTGGGAGAAAGCTGGGGGCGGTGCGGAGTGAGAGAGGGAGGACAGACGTGGGAGGTGGGGGAGATCAGAATCTTTATTTAACCTGGAGAAATCCGATGAGCTATGCAGCTCTTTTTCACAAATCTCCTTGATAGTAAGAAGGACTAGGATGAGGGGCAGCTCCAGTTGTACTCCCAGTGCATCCCTCCCTCTGGTGTCACCAAGGGCCTGGGGTAAAGCTGTTCAACGAAATGTACCGCTTTGTAGCGAACATCATAAATGCAGTATCGACTCTCCAACGTTTGAACTCAGGAATTTGGCATCCTTCCAGAGATGTGCATTCGAGGCGAAAATGCCACGGACAGGTCAGTGGAGAATGACTTAGCAGGTGCTCACTGCGTGTATTTATCCCCAACGTCAGCAGCGTCATCTGTGTCTGCACGTGTGACTGTGTTACTGCTTGAGTGTAACGTTAAGCGTGTGAATAGAGGCAAGTGTGTGTATACGACTGTGTGATTTAGTATTTTGTATTCATTCTAGATTTGAAGCTTTCGTGACTGCAAGGATTCATACTCGTAGGTTTTTTCGGTAAAGTCACGTAGGTGAAGATAAATAATAAAAACAACAGAAATAATAATATAAACGTCGTGATTTTTTTTCTTCTATTATTATTTCTATTATTTTTATTATATATTTTTACCTACGTGACTTTACCGAAAAAACCTAAGAGTTAATATTTTGTATGTCTGACAATTTGCAGTATGCAGTTATTCTGATATCCTGGAGAAATCTGATGAGTTATGAAGTTCTTTTCTTTTTTTACAGATGTCCAGTAGGGGCCGGACAAAGTTACAACAAACAATATAAAAAAACGATAAGAGTGCAAAGTACAGGTAACTGTAAGCAAATCACAAAAAATAAATACAAGTAAATTAGTTAAAATTGCACAAGTACCCCAATTCCCAAGCTTGGGCAAGGCAGAAAAACAACACGCATGTCGCACAAGATTGTTTATGCGTGCAGGTGTTTGTGTAATAGTCTGAATCTAATTAATCACAGTTTAAGTCGATGTGTATGTGTGTGTGGGTCCATGTGTCAGTCGATGTGTGTGTGTCAGTCGATGTGTGTGTGTACGTCGAAATGTGTGTCTGCGCGAGTCCATGTGCATTTGTAAGTCGACGTGTGTGTTTCAGTCGATGTGTGTGTGTGTGTGTGTACGTCGATATGTGTGTGTGTGTGTGTGAGTCCATGTGTGTGTTAGTCGATACGTGTGTTTGTGTAAGTCCATGTGTGTGTGTAGGTCCATGTGTGTGTGTAGGTCCATGTGTGTGTGTGACTATGTATGTGCGTGTGAGTCGATGTGTGCGAGTGTCTAAAGTCGATGTCTGTGTGTTACTCCACTTGTGTGTGTAAGTAGATTCTGTGTGTTTGAGTCCATATGTGTGTGTGTGTGGAAGTCGATGTATTTGTGTGTGTGGGTCGATGTTTGTGTGTGTTTGGAAGTCGATGTGTGTGTGTGTCTTTTTAGCCCGAGCAACGCCGGGTACTTCCCGCTAGTCTCCGATAAATAAGAACAATGATTTGAAAGTCCGCCACCTCGTGAAAACCCGTCCCCTGTAATGTGATTGGTAAATCCCTCTCTAAAGCAGCCAAGCTCTCAAAGCTTGCAAAAATGAAATTGTTGGTGTGTGATTGTGTGCGGTTGTGCGCAGTTGTGTTGGGGGAACGGTAGTGTAGTGGTTTGTGTGCTGTGCTACAAACCCGGCGACCCGAGTTTGATTCCTGCTCACGGCAAATAGCAGTGACAATCATCTGAACCAGTCCTGCGGCTCCCTTCTAGGTAGACTCAGCCTAAAATGAGTACCTAGTATGGTACATAAACATCACCACTGGGGAGGCAAAGGTGGCTGGGCGTGGTGCTGGCCACTCACCCCCTCGTGGGCCGTGCTGTCCTTTAAAGGTGCTCGCTAACATCACTTGCCCCAACAGTCTGTTAAGGCTATAGTGGGGATCTGTCTTTGCAGTTGTTTCTTTGTGTGGTTGCTTTTGTTGTTTTTGTCTTTGCATACGATTGTGTGTGACTGTGCATGGTGTTGCATCATTGTGCGCGGTTGTGTATGATTGTCCTTGGTTGTGTGTAACTTGGTGTGGTTTGTGCGCAGGCTGGAACCTGGAATGTCCCAGAAGCTCCTTTGCCTGTGATTTGCTCCAGCTGCCCTTTCCCAACGCAGCGCTGTAGAGCTTGCTTCAGCATGGTGGGTCTAGACAAAAGCACACACACAACACAATCATTCCCCACCCATCCAGCCTTCCAGGCTATCTGGAACGGTACTGTTAGGGAACACTTATTAAGGAATACACAGAACACAAATGAGGGAATTCTGGCCACAACCAAAGAGATGCACCAAACAAGCATGCAGACTACACCACAGCAGGAATTAATTTCAAGCCAAGTTTACCTATGGGTGGCCCAGGCCAAGTTGAGTTGCCAGTTGCTGATTACAATGTGAATCATGTTCAGGTTTCCCACCCGGGTGGTCAGGACCACAGATTACAGTGTTCGAACTATTGACACCACGATTCCCCCACATTCAACATATGTATACACACACATACCTATGTATGTATGTGTGTGTACACGCAGGTTTGCATATGCACAATGCAACTCACACAAATAACTTTTGGTGAGCAACCATTTAATGCTGCTTTCCCTAACTTGAAGAGTGCCCGCTCAGAAATTGCATTGTGTGGGCTTGGCACATCAACTTCCACCTCAGCCGTTGCAATACAGGACGCTAATCAAGAATGCCGTCTCCCGAAGAACAGAAGCGAAAAACCCAGGGAGTCATTTGTAAGATCACAACGCATGTTTATCTCTCCCCAGCAGAGAGACCTGAGCAGCACTGTGGAAACACGTCATTTGTGTTTGAATGAGGACGGCTGAACGCGGCAGTAGTTGGATGCGGCATGTGCTGGAGGCGGATAAGTCCAGTTTGCTCACCTGTCACCCACGGGCAGGTGCTGGTAGTGCTGCAGCAGGTACTTGCGGATAAAGGCAACCGATGCCTCCTTGGGCACGCAGACGCGCGTAAACGCCAATGGCAGGGCATCCTCCAGCTTGGTGGGAGGAACGACTGCCTGGGGACCCTGGAGATTGCACAAGGACAAATATCCCCCGTAAAGCCTTAACAGGCTATATATTCTGGGTTTTTTCGGTAAAGTCACGTAGGTAAAAAATTAAAATTAATAAAATAAAAATATAATAAAAATCACGACGTTTCGGAGGCAACACAAGCTTCCGTCTTCAGGTGGAACCGTCACAGCACGCTTGCTGTATCAAGTAAATGAGAAATTCCAAGAGATCCAACCCCGTATATATACTTGTTGAGGGGGGAGGAGCCAGGACAGGCCCCCTTTTTATTATTAACAGACTGTTGTGGTAAATGCTGTTAGTGAGCACTTATGAAGGCTGACACGGCGCATGACGGGGTGGGGAGGCCAGCATCATGCCCGACCGCCTCTGTCTCCCGAGTTGCAAAGTTTACACACTGCACCAGTTACTCATTTGAGGTCAAGTCGACCTAGAGAGGCCCAGGACCGGTTCAGATAATCGTCACTGGTGTTGGCCGTGAGTGGGAATCGAACTCGTGTCGCCGAGTTCATAGCGCAGTGCGCTAACCGCTACGCTACCTGCTCCCCATTGCACACACACATGCAAAAATATCCCCTGTTTAGTCGTACATGCCTCTTCCGCCAGCAAGTCCAAGCCGAGCCAGCGCAGGGCCCTCACGGTAGGGGTTGTTTTACACCGGATATTTGGCATGCCGAGCTGGAACGAAACTGTGTAACGCCTGCCTCACAAGATGTCCGAATCTCGCTCGGGGGCAAAGCAGGGCCAGGGGTGAAACGAATGGCGTGTCTAAATTTTGATTTAAAGCTTTCGTGACTGCAGGGATTCATCTTCTTGGTTCTTTCGGTAAAGTCACGTAGAAGGGAAATAATAAAATAATAAAAATAAAACATAATAAATAATTCTCACGAAGTTTCGGCCACAACGCAAGCAGCCGTCCTCAGGTGAAGAACAGGTCTGTCAGACGCTGTTTTCCCGACAGACCTGTTCTTATTTCCCTTCTACGTGACTTTACCGAAAGAATCAAGAAGATGAATGACGTGTCTATTGCATGTGAGGTCTGTGTCAGTCCGTACACTGCGAGGACACAATGTCGTCGAGTCATCGAAAACCATCTTCACTCGTTCGTTGCATGGGGAACAGCTCAGATTCTGCAGTGGAAAAGCAACCTGGCACTTCCTGAGCTTGCTTAGGACTCCTCAGTGTGGCTCCAGCTATGCTGGGGCTATTAGCCAGCACCTACGAACACCGCCACGGAACAAGAGAGAGTGGTGTGGTCAGCACCATGCTCGGCTACCTTTAGTCTCCCCTGAGCTGATGTTTAGACACTGCACCAGGTACTCAATCAAAGGCCAAGTCAGCCTGGGTAAAGCCTACGACAGCTTTAGATACCACTTGACACCTATTTTATCCGCGCCCAGAAATTAAACCTGGGTCGAAGATTGTTAACCACTGCACACAAATACCAGCGCTCACACCTCCAACGACTGCACGCACACAAGTGCACGCACACCACCAAATGCAAGACCTATGCATACACAAACATGCACTCGTGTGGTGGACGATGCACGAAAGCTCCTAAACAAAATTTTGCACCGAATCAATGGTATGCACTCACTGAGCACAAGTGGACATAAATGCAGCAAGGCAAAGGCATGCACACGCACATTGTGAGAACACACACAAATGTTGATGGAAGAACGATATTACTAATGTTAAGGAGAAGCCACGAACCAGACAGGCCACGCGGTTCGGTGTTTCCGATCCCCCACTGCAGCCGGTTGCGTACATTACAAGACAGGCGGATAGGCTGATGTTCTGTCCTTCTCATGGACAGGGAAATGAAGTGTGACCCCCTTCACCCAAAGTTTATAAACAAAAATTCGTTGTCTGTTGCAAGAAATCCTGCAGGGACCCATAAATACAAAGACACACTCACACACACAAGTTGAAATGTCTGAAGTGTTACTCAATATTGCCACCTTCTCTCGCTCTCATATTGCATCAGGTTTCATGTAACGTGTGTGTGGTTAGACTCACCCTTGCTACGGAGTGGATACGTTCCCCCCCCCCCCTTGCTGCTGAATGGATAAGTTCAGCCCCCTTGCTGCTGTGACGTGTATATACTACGAAGGTCCTAAAGATGTAAATGTGTGTCACAGTATGTGGAGCAGCCTATACTATGGTGTGTCTGATGATACTCTGATAACTTATTCTACCAGATGAGAGCTCATTATCTCTTTTACGGGAGAGACCTGAGTTACGCGAGAACATTTTGGCCGTGATTTTCAATTAAATTGTGAATGAGTGTTTTCCTGACGCCAGGCACGCAGTGGTGTACTTTGATTCAATGGCATCACAGGTGAACTTTATGTAATCTCGACAAATTTCTCACGTTATTTAAAAGATGACAACAACACAAAAAACGCTCTTGTCTTGCAGCTCCACACCGAGACTGTGTCTCACGTGGTTTAATATTCCTTTTTAAGAAAAAAATACTTTAAAGTGATTTTCAGGAGCAATGCAGTGAATATTGTGGTGTTCACCATGTTTTTATTTGTCAATTTAGTCACTTTGATGTGATATTTGCTCACTTACATAGCTTGACCTCATGTCTGACAGTCATAGGTACAGAGCCAATGTGAGTACCGACAAGAGCTACTTGTTTCCAGGGTTATGCCCTCCTTTTTGCAATGTGTTACTCGGACCAAAATCATCATGCACGTACATTATGAGACCTCCTTTGCCAGTAGCAAGATATAGCAATAGGTTTTTACCCTTTTATCTGGCACCAAAACTGACACCTTTATACAAGGGATCATGTTTGCAATAACCACAACACAAGCAGTCAAAATGCAAACAAAAAGAAAAAACTCTGATAATGATATGCACTATCATTGAAGTTGATTGGTCTCTACTGGTGGAGACGAGGCTCTAAGAAAAGCCGTCTCGGGTGTGGACCAATCAATTTCTAAGACAGTGCATATCATTATTATGGTTATTGCAAACATGATCAATTGTATAAAGGTGTCAGTTTTGGTGCCAGATAAAAGGGTAAAAACCTATTACAACATCACGCACGTATTTCATCTTTAATCTCATCGCACCAGTTAATATACATTGACTAAAGTTCAATGAGGAGTGCTCAATGTACCCAGACACACGGTACATTCTCAGATCTCACCAAATGATTGCACACTGCTACATATTTAAAATAATTTCGTCAGCTCGCTCAGTTGCGTCGTGCAACCTATCGATGGAATTTTTGAGGGAGCACGAACTCTCGTGTCCGCTCACCTGGGTAGACGCGACGAGGTTCTAATAAAGGCCGAGTGAAACTGGTGGCTGGAGGTGGGGGGGGTGCGATGTGTGCTGCTTGGTGCGTTACCGTTTTTCCATTTGCACGGGCACTTGGTTTGGACAGCTCAACCCTGCCAGAGGCCCCTTTGCCTGTGAGCTGGGGGGGGGAGGAACAAAAAATGACAAGTCACACACATACACAACAATTCCCCCTTACAGCCTACGTGGACTGTTTACACACTGCACACTCTGCAATTATTTAAAGCCGAGTGGCTCTAGGTGAAGCCCTGGACTGGTTTTCCACTCATTTTATCCAACGCCACGAAACAGAGGTTCAATGCAGCGCACCAACTACTATGGCACTGCTCCCCCAAGGACAAAGATCCCCCATATAGCCTTAACAAGTTGTTGAGGAAAGAGCTGTTAGCGAGCCCCTATGAAGGCACACAGATACACACGAACATACATAAGCACACTGGACATGAACAGAAATCACTGTCCAAGCATTTCGCACCAGCTTGCCTTCCACAAACAAGCATACACCACCAACACAACACATATACAAAGACAAAGATCCCCCCTATAGCCTTAACAGAATGTTGGGGCAAGTCCTGTTAGCGAGAACGTATGTGGGGATGAATACACACCACACGAGGTACTCATTCGAGGCCGAGTCGACCTAGGGGAGGCCCAGGATCGGTTCAGACATTCTTCACTGGTGTTGGCCGTGAGCGGGAATCGAACTCCCATATACACTCACTCATTCTCATGCAATCACTCATTGCCGAATCCTCAATTTCATCCCCATCACTCTTTCACTCTCGCAACCTCCCTTTGCCTTTCACATTTCCACTTCTGAATCAGAGCTACAGTATAGAGCTCAGTGGGCCTTACCTAGTAAAATAAAAAAACACGTACTCGTACTCCCTGACGCTATCCGCCCTCCCGCCCCACCCCACCTGGCGGATGCGTCCGCGCTCACGCTCGCGGCTCAGCGCCTGCTTCAGGAGGTAGCCACGGCGCTGCAGTCCAAGGCCCGGGTACTCGGCCACGATGTACTTCCTGAGGGCCACCACGGACGCCCCGCCGCGCTGCGCGCAAGCCTACTCACACCCCGCATGGACCAGGACCACCAGCCGTGACGCGCACCACACAAAAACCACGTGCACAAAAGATCCGCACGTAAGCACACGCAGTCGTTGCATGTGTAGTCCATGTGCGGAGGTATCATGCACACGCACTCAAACTACACCCTGACTACACACACACAGAGCAAAGGCATGCATATACAGCGACCATGCATAGAGGTAACGCATACACATTGAATGAATCGTCACAATACGAGGTTGCGATTTGATTGAATAATCTAATTTGTGCCGTTTTTACCATATTATTTGGATTGTTTATCTTTTCCCGGTCTCATTTGGAGTCTTGTCTGTCCCACGAGTTTAAATATTACATGAGCATATGCTTTTAATTAAATGTAGAAAATGCAAATAAATAATTCTCAGACACACACTATTCAATGCATACATCAAGTGTAGGAATGTATTTAAATTGACAAATCATTACATGCCTATGAGCACGCATGCGAGAACTTGTCACAAATCGGTGTCGCGATTCAAATATTTAATATATTTTTTTGACTGGGTTGTACTGTGGGTGTCATTCATATTGCCGTGTTGTATGTTCCGTCTCGTTCATTCCATTAGTTTATAGTAAACAAGTGCATACATTCTGAGATGCGGTCGTATTTAGATGCTACATAAATCCAAATTGTCTTGTAATTGACAAAAATGGCACGTGATAAATCGTGTCTTATGTGCACAAGCTTTGATGCATAGAGAATATTCCGAAGGTAGGAATCTCTTTTAATCAACTGCCGTGACCCTATTTCTAAATGTATGTATAGTCCAAGCTCGCATGCATGCATGTTATGCTAATGTTATGGACGCAACCGACTGTGTGCGCATTATGAGCAATTGTCCGTGTGTACGTGTATGCGTGTTCGTGCCTGCAGCGCCTCGGTCAGGATGGCAGCCATCTTAGGTCGGTTGGACGCAACGCGGCAAGTGCCGCGTTGCACCAGCGCATTCTGGGAGTTCGTGAGGCTGGCCCAGGAAGGGATGATGCGGCGCCTGCACGCAAGATAGATGACAAACTCACCATTTTTACAAGCCAAACCTTCGCAGCCATTATAGCAGAAACACGCGGATAAGTTGTAGGTGAGACATTCATGTATGTGTGAACAGCCCATTGTCAATCCACTGCTCGTGGAGGTTATTTTATTTTACTATAATTTCACCACGCTCATCAGTGCAAGTTGGTGTTAAGAATTCTCATGAAATCAACTATAAGTAAAATAGTAAAATTTTCACACCGGCTTGAGACCACCAATAGTAATTACCAAAAGGAGATGACACTTGGATTAAAATGTATTGTTACTAAACACGCATGTATTCACTGACTTTGTGCAGCGTTTGCATTAAGGGTCTACAGTAGAGTTTACAGTGTGTTCTAACACATGCATTCAAAAGCACCTCTGCTGTGCTTCCTGTCAATATTGGGCTCAATGTGGAGGGGACTGATAACGCCAGCCATGGGCTTCGTGTGCGCCGCACACGGCACACAGTTTTGTTCAAAGTCTAAATAGCCGGAAATGTTAATTAACCATAACATTCTATTTTGCGTGCTACAAATTCTCATTTCAGGAAGACAAAATTTAATAACACCTGGACCTGTGACAATGAATCTCTTCGGGTACAAAGGAATCGCACGGTGCAGTATATTTTTAAAGAACGTCAGCAGCGGCACAAAATGAAAATGCAAATGATGGCAAACATCGGCGTGGCGAGCTCACTTCTGCTTGCCGTCATCTTTCCCCGCACCCGCTGCTTGCACTCCCTTGGCCCCAGACACTGCCCCCTTGGCTGGAGACCCTGCCTCCTCTCCCTCTGGCCCCGCCTCCTTGTCCACGGTTTCCACCTCGTCGTTGGCAGTGGATGCGGTGTTGGCGGCATCATCGGTGTCTGCGTCGGGGACCGCGTCGGCAGCCTTGGGGTCCATGCTCACGAGTGGCTCAGCTCCGTCAGATGGGGGCACAGTCGCTTCACGATCAGCTGGGACAATAGCAAGGCGTTATTATTCATATTGGTAATGTACATGCACAACCCTTTTATCAATACACTGGTGGATGAGGGCTTCCGCATTTTGTGGCAGGTCATGTTGGTTATTTGGTTCTACTTTATTATGCTTGTGTGGGTTGGTAAATAGCAGTAAGCATGGATGGTGAGACAAAGTACATCATGGATTTGCTTCACTGTCCTTTGTTGACAACATAGCTTTACAGTTGCCTACAACATCTGTTTTATGCATGGTGGTCATCCATCCAAAATTCTTTATCGGGGATATAAGACACCGTACACCACCAAATCAATATATGACTTTATACGACCTCAATTATTAGTACATTTTATTTCCTGCCATTTTACTTGAAAACTTTTCCAGATCTATTTTATGAAAATGACATGAAGGTAACTTCCATGGACTAGGCTGTGCAGTCATTTATTAAATATACTACAGATCCTCAATTGCAGGGTTCTTCAACTGGTGGCCTGTGAAGGCTCTTGGAGTGGTCCACCAAGGTGTGGACTGCCGAGATATATGGCTCGTTGAGACATAAATAGGTACAGATTAGTGAGACGAAAGAGATATAAACAACAGAAATGAGACAGCTGTAGATAAGGGATAAAGATTAGTGGTCACATGTGCAGACGTTATGATGCCCCGGACCCCATTCGATGTTATAACAGATGACGTAACGTGGTCCCACCAGCAAATGCTAATCTTATTACATAGCCAGCTGGAACATATAGATGAAGAATCCTGCTCTATTAAAAGTATATGGAAGGCAGAGAATTTATTCAGGTAAATGGCATTAACGTATCCAGCAAAGCCTCTGAGTTGTTCAAGAGGATCATGCATGAGAATGTTGGACCAATACCTTTAAAATTAGTGTTTTTTGGATTGTAGGTAATCGGAGTATCCAGAGAAGACTAATAAGTACAAGCAAAAAACATAGGTTTGCACAGATGGGTTCACAAACCCACCTCACATCCCAGCAGATTTGGGAGTTTTATAAATCTGCACGATCCATAACGGTTTGCCTCCAAACCGCTGGATCACATAATAGCGTGCGCCACCACATCTGGCTCAAAAGCTTCATTCAGCCTCAGCTACAATTACATACATGTGCATAGCCGGCCGGTGAGTGCAACGCAAGTGTGGCAGTGTGCATGGTACCCTGCACGTGACAACATTGCCTGTGTAATGCGGGAGCACCAACGGTAACAATTTGGGCATCGTGTAGCACTTCTTTCTTCACTAATACTGATCCTGATGCTGTCTGCTGGACCAGGGGGATGAGGATGGTCACCAGCCTCCTGTCTGCAGCAGCTTGACAACTAAGGGAGCTCCACTTGTTGGATTGCCAGAAGCGAACACTTGAGTTGGCGTACAAACTTAATATTTGCGACTACAGTCCACCAAAGGTGTGTGTACACACACGTAATATTTCAGCCACAGCACTATTTAAACCAAGTGGTTATGGGTTGGCACAATCCTGAGCACACTGACACACTTGCACAGCAGTGTATGTGCATGCCAGCATTTACCTTTTGCTTTGGACTGTCCTTGCTTTTGTCTCTTCTTCAAAGAAGGCATGACTACATGTAAAATACACAATTACCGTGTTAATGAAATTACCAAACCCAGAGGGTGAAGATTGCTTATTAAAGCTTGAACAGCTTGTGGGGGAAAAGCATTAATTGTGGGGTGACATGTCACAACTGAAGGTGGATCAGTGGGGGATGTCTTGTGATATATGGATATATATCTGAAACATGGACAACAATAGTGAACATGGAACAAAAGCTAAATCGTATGCAAGCAATCAAGGATAAATGTATGCTGGGATGTATGCCGAGTAGAAAAAAAATGAAAATCAGAGAATAAATGCAAAATAGAGACATCGTGTCTCTCGTGGGATACACTGCTGGAGGTAATGATAGCAGTTGGGCGAGACCGTTGATGGACTGGCAGCCAAAGAATACATGACAGACAGATAGAGCGGCCACAGCATAGACTGCGTGGCGAGATCAACTCATGCACACAAACAAGATGACTTGTGGCATCGCAAGACCATGTGAGATGATGACGATGCGAGGCCTTCGGCCAGTTGTGAATTGCTGATGACAATAATACAAACGTCTCAGATGAGTCGAAACCAAATTGGGCCTCATCGGAGAGGTGCAACTTGGCCAATAAAAAAATCCACAATACATTGCACACGACTGCATGCATCTTTGACATGTTAACGATTTAAATTACGAGTTGAGTCTGATTGACCAATGTTTAGTCCAATAGGCATGCCTCTTGAGTAATTTCCACTGCTAAATGTGGGCTTCCCCATCTCGCAGGGCAATGGGGAATTGTTTGACAATGGCTTTACCACGCTGGGCAGTGTGGGTTGCTGATGGCAGAAAGTTTTGACTTGGGAGCATAAAAGTACGGTACAATAATTTATGTTTTTGCACTGCCCTCTGCTGACCACCATGTAGCCCCGTAAACGATATACAACATGTTTTTTGTGCAGTGGTCACCCATCCAGGCACTATCCAGGCTCAACTTTGCTTAGCTTCCGAGATGTGACGCGATTTGGATGCATTTAGGGTTATTTGCTCAAGAGGGGTTCTCATATTAATCTTATTTGATTATTTGCCGACCGCTCCTTTCCTGTGATAACTGAACTCCCTCACGATCAATGCATTTTCTTAGCCAATTATTTTCACTTAATCCCAGACAATTCCTCTCATAGACAAGCCCTCTCCAACCCTGCTCCACTTTCCATTTCCACGATCAATCGATCATTTTCGATTATCTGCCATCTCGAATGTCTCGCCCATTTTTTGAAGTTATATGTCTTTACCAAACGACTGCACCGTACTTGATATCTGCCCGACTAATCGTGGCACGATTAATGCATCCCTCCATTAATCACTTCAATCGATCAGCCCTTTTCAACCCCAATCGCTCAGCTTAAGTTGACCCCATGTCAAGGGTCAACTTTCCTTCTCGATTAAAGCATCGAGGCCAATCGATTTATTTCTCGATTACCTCCGAGTAATCGACTACCATCAATCCCAATTCGCCCGCAAAAATGCGCGAAGCACGCAAACCAAAACCCAAAACATCCGCTCGCCCTAAGAAACAAAAATCCCGCCTAATCGAACCCAGCTCATCGAATTATCGACCACGAATCATTCCACCATCCGAGGTGGGGATGCATTTCACCCACCTCTCGCTTAGCTAACGGTTTCAGTTTCATTGATTTGAATGTTTAGTCCAATAGGCATGCCTCTTGATTAATTTCCTCCTTCCAAACCATGGTCAAGCCACTGCTAAATGGGGGCTTCCCCATCTCGCAGGCCAATGGGGAATTGTTTGACAATGGGGAATTGTTTGACAATGGCTTTACCACGCTGGGCAGTGGTGGGTTGTTGATGTCAGAGAGTCAATTTGACTCGGGAGCATCAACAATTACAGGACAGTAATTTAGGTTTCAGCCCCGTGAGCAATTCGGCTCTTGAATCGGTTGCAACATGAACGAGCAACATCTTAAAGTGACTAAGTGCAAACATAAAATCCAGGAATCCAACACAAATCCACGGTGCCCCCCACTACACGTGGCGTGTTGTGGTGGTGGGGAGGAGGGGGGGGGGCACGAGGTTGCTAACGCAGCGGGGTCCACTGACAGCCTTCGGGGGGGGAGGGGGGGGCCTTTAGCGCGGCCTCTGTCAATACAGAAATTATAAAATACAGAAATTATAAAATACCGCCCCTTCCCCCGACCACCACCACCACCACGACTACAGTCATCGTCATCATCGTCGTCGTTGTCAACCCCGACAATGGTGTTGGACACGCGCGGCGACGGCGGCCGTCCTAGGGGGCTAAAAGTGAAGGGGGCACCGCGGGCGAACGCGTCGCAAACCCGACGAGGTGTTGTTGTTGTTGCTGTTGTTGTTGTTAAAACTCGGTACCCAGACAAACTACGACGGCGTGACTTGAGGAGAGAGAGAGAGGAGAAGGAAGGAGGCTAAGAGAGAGAGGAGAGAGAGACGACGATGAGGAGGAGGAGGAAGGGGGGGGGGCAGAGACGAAGCGCGCTGTCGACGCAGCCGCCATGTTCCCCCCGTGCGAGGCGAGCGCCTCGTCGTCCCCATCCTCCTCCTCATCGTCATCCCTCCCTCACCTCGCCCCACACAACGAACGCAGCAGCAGCAGCCGACGACGATTGCACGGCGCTGCCGGGAAGGAGGAGACGACGCGGGGCGCCAGGAACCTTCGGCGAGTGGCGGAGGAGACGGGGGCCGCCGTTACCTGGGGAAGGAGCGCTCCGCGGATCCGGATCCTTGCAGGAGTGAGGATCCGGATCGTTACTGGTTATCAATGGGATCCGGATCATGCAAAAACTACCCCCCCACCACCCCCACCCACCAACACCCCCCCCCCCACCAAGCCCCCCACCACCCAACCAGCCCCACCAACACGACCCACACCACCACCATCCCCCATCAACCCCCCCACTACCACCCCCCACCAACCCCCCCACCACCACCTCCCATCATCACTACCCCCCACCAACCCCCCCCACCACCATCACTACCCTCCACCACCCCCCCCCACCACCACCACCCCACTACCACCCCCACCAACCCCCACCACAACCACCCCCCACCAACACCCCCACAACCACCACCCCCCACCACCAACCCCCCCACCACCACCACCCCCCACCAACACCCCCCCACCACCAACCCCCACCACCACCAACTCCCCCCCACCACCCCCCACCAACCCTCCCCACCACCACCAACCCCCCCACCACCACCATCCCCCACCACCCCCCACCACCACCCCCACCACCACCCCCCACAAACCCCTCCACCACCACCATCCCCCACCACCCCCCCCCCACCACCCCCCACCAACCCCCCACCACCACCCCCCACCACCACCACCCCCCACCCCCACCACCCCCCACCAACCCCCCACCACCACCCCCCACCAAGCCCCCCCCCACCACCACCCCCCACCAAGCCCCCCCACCCCCCCCACCACCCCCAACACCACCACCCCCCACCAAGCCCCCCCCACCACCACCCCCCACCAAGCACCCCCCCCACCAAGCCCCACCCACCAACACCCCCCACCAAGCCCCCCACCACCACCGCCCCCCACCACCCCCCACCAACCCCCCCCCCCCCACCACCCCCCAACACCACCACCCCCACCAAGCCCCCCACCCCCACCCGATGTTGTAACGTGGGATCCGGTTCCCTGCGCTAAGCGAACGAGGGTCTCGCGTCAAAGTGGAATCCGGATCCCCCGGATCCCACGAGGATTGTCCAAAAAAATTCAATTTTAACATTTTTTTAAATTTAATTAAAGTCGCGGATTGTCCATAAATGTTTTACTTTCCCGCCGGGTCTCTATGTCCCATCCCCCCTCCCAAAAAAAACGCCCACTAGTATAGCTATAAATAATGCTTAAGTGAAGGAACTTGAGTTTGTCAATGAACAAAAACTAAAAATCTCCGTAGAAAATATCCTGGTATTTTTCTTTTGTATTACAAAAGTCCAGAAGAGTGCGCCCACTAAATGTACAGCACATACCTGTACAGACCAATTCAGACCTTATTGGTCACCTCGTGCCCTTATAAATCTCAACGTTCATCCTACAACGTCCCATCACAAGGGAGAGACACAAACAATTATACTGGTAGGAACCTCCTGGTTACACCAGCCCACAGGGGATTATTGTGTCCGTCCGTCCGTCGTGCAGGGAGGGGCTGGGTGGGGAGGGTGGGGAGGGGCTGGGTGGGGAGGGGCTGGTCACCCCGTGGTGCCCTTATAAAACTCAACGTTTCACCTACTCACGCCGGCTTGTGCCCGCCCTCACAGTCGGGCATATTTGCGGAATACACCACGCCGCCGTTGACCCTGCAGGCCATTGACCGAGCAACCCAACGTTCCTACCAGCTCCCTCCGCATGAATGTGTTTTAGACTGTAGGACGAATCTGATGAGCTATAAAGCTCTTTTTTTTCAAACTGATGTTGCCCATGAGCGGGAATACAACTGGGATGGAATGACTTAACAGGTGTTCACTTTGTGTATCCCCATCAACGTCAGAGGTGGCATCTGTGCCCGCGTGTGACTCTGTTACCACTCGAGTGAAACATTATGCGTTTGAATTAATATATGCAAGTGTTCATATATACGACTGTATGTGATTTAGTGTTTTGTATGCTTAACAGTATGCATGCGAATGACTGTGCGTGTGATAGAATCAGAATCTTTATTTATCCTGGAGTAATGCAGCTCTTTTTCACAGATGTCAAGTCGGTGCAGCTCGGAACGTTTCAACAACAAACGATACAAAAACATTATAGGTGCTTCGATTAAGTATTTTTTCTTCTTATTTCGTATGGATAACAGCAAATTATAAGATGTGATTTTAAATGTTATCCCATACCTGTCAACCTGTATGGTTTACCCGTATTCTTGTACGGGGAAATTGAGTTTCAGGTCCATACGGCGTACAGTCATTTCAATACCGGCAAAAATAAATAAAACTGTTTTTGTCTATTTGTGTTTCTCGCTTGTGATGGGATTTTGTAGGATGAACGTTGAGATTTATAAGGGCACGGGGGTAACCAATAAGGTCTAAATTGGTCTGTAAACAGGACCCTGCGGGGTGGGCTGGTAGGAATAATAATTAGTAACCGGGAGGAGCGATGCGCGCCAGAGGCTCCGAGTCCCCGCCCTCTACCCCGCCCCTTAGCAACGCGCCCTGCTTAAGTGGTGAGGGCGGCGTGTGGTGATCATGGTGATCGTGGGTGTCCGAGGAGTCGTGTGGATGCCGCTGTGTCGACTGTCCCCCGTCTTCAACTACTTGGGGCGAAGTGGTCGTTTGCAGACTTCACGGCGACCGACTTCAGCGAGGAGGCGCTTTTATCTCAGCGACGCCATCAAATCGACGACGCCGTGACAACAAAACGCAGCGATTTTTGCGGGAGCCGACGACTTGCTGACGCGCAGTTGACAGCCCCCCCAACACCCCGCCAACACCACCCTCAACACCACCCCTCCCACCAGCCCTCACCACCCCCCCACTACCCCCCACCACCACCCAACCACCCACCACCCCCCACCACCACCTTCTGCACTAGGCCTCGCGAAGCCTCCCGCACTAGGCCTCGCGAAGCCTCCTGCAGTAGGCCTCGCGAAGCCTTCTGCACTAGGCCTCGTGAAGCCTTCTCTGCAGTAGGCCTCGCGAAGCCTTCTGCACTAGGCCTCACGAAGCCTTCTCTGCAGTAGGCCTCGCGAAGCCTTCTCTGCAGTAGACCTCGCGATGCCTTTTCTGCAGTAGGCCTCGCGAAGCCTGCCGCACTAGGCCTCGCGAAGCCTGCCGCACTAGGCCTCACGAAGCCTTCCGCACGAGGCCTCACGAAGCCTTCTCTGCACTAGGCCTCGCGAAGCCTTCCCTGCAGTAGGCCTCGCGAAGCCTTCCCTGCAGTAGGCCTCGCGAAGCCTTCTCTGCAGTAGGCCTCGCGATGCCTTTTCTGCAGTAGGCCTCGCAATAAGGCGATTAAATGTATCTCGTGTCTGTGTTAATATAAATGTATCTTGTCTCTGTGTTAAAAAAACGTGCTGCGTTTCAGTAAAGTAAATTTGAAGCGAAGTTTAAAGTTTCGCCGTGAGGCCCCCGGAAGCGGCGGCCATCTTGTTTAGTTCACAGATCGCAGGGGGAGCGGGCGGCCATCTTGTCGGACAGACGGACAGACGGACGGACACAATCTATTGGTGGTCTGGTCCACTTCGTTCCTACCAGTATAAGGTAAGCACCTGTAATGAGAGAGCGCCATCTAGTGGGTGCCAGGGGGTAACTGTACGGGCACGATCGGGTAATTGGCATCCAATCCTAAGCAGGGATAACATTTGGGCCAAAGGTGATGGGCGGAGTCGGAGAAGAATGTTCGGGAACCATCGGGAAGGTTCCACGAGGGGGCGTGGCTGGAGGCGGAGCCTAGCATAGCTCCGCCCAGGAGGAATATAAGCAGAGGCAGGGGAGGACTTGCGGTCGGTGTGGGAAGCCTTGGTCCGGACTGCGTCGTTGCTCATCCGCACCTCACCATCGACCACGTGGCAGATCCCCCAGCGGAGCTCGCCTCTTCTCCTCGACACGCCGCCAGCCAGCGGCGGGATCGGAGAGAAAGTGGCGAACCTCGACGGTGGGACGGAGAGAACGCCTCATCCACGGCATTTGATAAAAGGGAAATAACCCGGAGAGGGAAGGGGCGGAGCCGAGCAGTGGCTCAGTTAATAAAGAAGCACCATTCAAGAGGCGTCCTGGAAGTCCTTTATTACACACCTGATAAAAGGTTGACATGAATGTTATCCACTCGATTGTTTGTTCATAAGCAGAATGGATCTCGCCCCATTCCTCCTTTGGCAGGAGTGAAGACAGGAGCAGATCCAAGTCCCGGTCGAAGCCGGGTAGTCAAGCTAGCCAATTATAATTGGTTCTAGAAATGTGCACGACTTGAGCATGTTGACACAAGAAAGAAGTGGAAACACATGACAAAACGTGCAGTGGGCACCTGCTCATGGATCGTGGTGGTGATGATGGTGGTGGTGATGGTGGTGATGTTGCTCGAAGTCCAACGGCGTCCGGATCCCCATGCTTCCGGTTGCTAAACGAATATGTTATAACGAGTCGCGCTCATTCCACACAACCTTCTTGCCACACATTCGACCACTGCCGAGTCATGACCTCGCCAACACGGTGGCTCGCTTGCCACTTTAATCAGCTGTCGAATGGCAGAATCTGTCAGTCCAGGGGAAGTCTGGAAAGTGATGCGAGTCATAGCTCTGCCCTGGTGGTAATATGCTCACTATTTAAACCAGCAGAACGCTTGGGGCGTTCGTCAACGGTTTCTGGCATAGAACATCACGGGCTGGGGACTTCGGTGGCCAAGGACCTGCTGCGCTGCAAGGATGCCACTCTCCGAGCTCGTGCAAGGAAAGCCTGCCCAGAAGCGACCAATGTGCATGCATTACCGCTGTATATGCATGTCTTTGCTCTGTGTGTGTGTAGTCAGGGTGCATGGTACCTCCACGCACACTATGCGTGCAGTGACTGCGTGTGCTTAACGTGCGGGTCTCTTGTGCACGTGGTGGCCATCAGGAAGTACATCGTGGCCGAGTACCCGGGCCGAGAACTGCAGCGCCGTGGCTACCTCCTGAAGCAGGTACTGAGCCGCGAGCCCGGACGCATCCACCAGGTTGGATAGGGCACGGGATAGTGAGAGGGTGGGGAGTAAGAGTAGGTTTTTTTTGGCGTCATCTGGTCCAACACCATGCGAGACTAGGTTCTAAGAAAAGCTGTCTCGGGTGTAGACCAATCAATTTCAAGGACAGTGCATACATTATCAGAGTTGTGTTTTTTGTTTGCATTCCGACCGCATGTATTGTGGTCAATGCAAACATGACTCCTTGTAAAAAGTGTCAGTTTTGTTGCCATCCGGTGGAAATTTAAAGCAGCCAAATACTATAAATGCAAGTTGATGCTAAATGGAGAGAAACCGGAGGAACTGGGGATAAATCCATGTGACAACGGGAAGAACGCGCAAACTCCAAATATACAGCAGGCGTCAGGGTCGGGATCGAACCCATGGCCTCCTGTATACCAGGCGAGGTAGTTAACATCTCCTAGCCACCATGCAACCCCATTTAATGGAGTGGTAGCCAAAGAATGGAAGGCATCGAAGAGAACATCCACTGAGATGGTGCAATACAATAAGTTTGAGTATAGGTTCTGGGGAAAGTGGTGTTTGTGAGCACCCACAAAGGCTGGCACAGCATACGGCCAGCAAATCATGCCCAGTCGCCTTGCCAATGACGTTTTCCATAGCCGGGAATCAAACCCAGGTCCGCCCCCTGATCCATAGCAGTGTGCGAACCACTGCACGAGTGGACACAAACACCAGCACACATGCACACACATAAGCAAAAGATTCAAGTCACAAAAGGTTATTAAACTGGTTTTATTTCAACTATTCCAATTACAACTCTACCTGTATAGATACAATACTTTAAAGATTACGTCTTAACATGGTACGGTCATACGTTTCATACTGGCTACTAAGAACTTTAAATATAATTACAATGTACATTTCAGCATTTTTTCCAGTAGGTGAATATGTGTTACACAATACCGCGAATGTAGTCTGGTCAAGTCTCAGTTTATACACGGACTGAAGCAGGAGAACCTTCGCAAAATGTGATGCAAATAAGTAGCATTTACTAAAATCAACAATAAAAATACCCCATTGTATCTGATCCCATGTTATTATGCTCAGCAGCTACACTCTTGCTACAATTCATATTGAGTTGCAGCTGCATTTGTTGAGGGCATGATGACGGAGTCCACATGGTTATCCTTGTTTACATGCAATCGGATTGCATACACCTAGGCCTGGCTAAATGCTATTGGATTCCATACAGGCTACCCTTGGTAACATGCCATCAGATTCCAAAGGGCTGGGATTCCCCAACATGCAACTTAATTTAACAAGGTTCATTGTTTTCTTGTTACATAGATTACAACACATGACCCTATGAACCAGTGTTAATGCGACATGGCATGGACATTGCCAACGTCTTAATGTCAATGCATGTTTCTGGGCCGCTGTCATAATATAGATTTAAAAGGTTGAAGACGGACATGGAGATGTCCGCTTGTTCGTGCATTTCGCCAGCACTGTATTCTTGCTTCGTGTGGGAGGAAAATGTAGTGCCCAAAGAAAATGTATGCACATACTGGGGTAACACTCCAATTGTCACGTACATGAGCCAGAAACCTACTTGCTTCATTGCACCTAATGTCCTGCAGGCAGGAGCCAAGCACACATTATTGCTCCATTTCTGCATGATTCACCAACGCCTAAGCCACTGCATTACAGGTATTTGCAAATGAACTCAGCCACATCGATCCACAGTACTTACAGGCTCACTTGAAATGTTCTTGTGCAGAGGTAAACGTACATTCTATCATATGCACAATTCCCAGCAAATGTTGCTTTTACAATGACAATCCAGATGAATACATAATGAATATGGTACCAAGCAACACCTCTGTATAGCACAATAGCAACTATTGCCTACATTGGGCAATATCTTGTGATACAACCAATCCCCATGTATTGCAATACTGGAATTACCCGGCAATGTTAAACAGCAGTATTGATAAGGGTATTATAGCAAAAACAATTCCAGAATCGCAATCTATATTTGTGTGGTGGGTATTACATAGGCATGTAACAATTCACATTTCCACCCTGTGCCTGATTCAATTGTTACAAATTTAGGATGGCGATGTCATTCAATAATTGATGTTTTGTATTGTTTTCATGTTATTCGCATTGGTTTTTTTAAACGTTTTTTTCTTTCTTGTTTGTATAGTTTTGTTCACTTCACTGGCAGTGCCAGAACAAATTGTAAGTGTACAACTCGATATAGAGATTGTAAGTGTAAGAATAGATTTTTATTCGAACCCAATCATTACATGCCAGCGTTTGCATACGACATTTGCGGGTATCTCCCAGGACTATCCGCCCATTGGCAAGCACATTTTAAATTCCATGCTACATCTTTCATCGGGAAAAAAAAACATGAGGGGTGTCAGAGCCAAGACGCCCATGTGAGTTTCCTTGACAAGGACTCTTAATTGTGGTGTTCGAGAAACTAGTCGAGTGTGCTCGTAACAAGCACACTCTTAACGAGCACACGGCAGTGGTCAGTTTTAAAAAAAGTGTTTAAAATAAATAACGTTGAGCATATCGGGGTACACGTTTATATTTCAGCTAACATCCTTGACGTCCTACGAGCGTCTCAGCGCTGCGCACGCTACACGCTATATACACAGTAGAAGCATACCTTCACTTCATCGTTACTGACGAGGGCTCCGACACCTCGGCTTAGAGGCGGACAAGGTCCAGAGGACCTCCGTTGCTCACTTTCGACATGAAACCCAAACCGGATGTCTTAAGAGGGCAGTGGCGTTTACACGCTGAGGTGTACAAATTGAGACAATTTATTCAGCAACCTAACGAAACGAGCACGCCGAGACAGGGCCACAGCTAAGCCCCACGGCTTAGCAGCTCAAGTAGGTGCATTCAGCAGACTGCGACAGGCAGCCACACGCACACGGTCATCGTTAAAAGTTTACATTAACAAGCTCGTCCAATACCTACCGACACACACACACAAAACATTGACTAAACATTTATTTATACTAATGTTAAACTGGGATTTGGGCTTGTGACTGCACAATCATATTCGATAGGGATCCATCATATAGTTTTGAAAATGGATATCGGTTTCCCACCATGGGTGTTACTTGCATCACTGGTATTGTTTTACACCTCCCAGTTGGTTCCATAAGCATGGGAGATTTGGTTACAAAACTCATCTGGGCATGACCTTGGAAAGCAAACGGGGAGGTAATTTCAGTGGTGTCGTTTAATTTTTTGCCTGCATCTTGAAATTGTTCTGGTTTGTGACCACAGCCAGGTAAGTTCCACCTGTCCCTCCTGGGACTACCAAAGAGGTCCGTACCCCAGCATTGTCTCGATACTAGCACGCACACCGGATCCACGAAACAGTGTCAGCAAATCAGGAATTAAAGCAAGACGATAAAACGGTGAAACGTGGACGACGACGACACCACTTTACAGTTCCAAGTTTACGAGTTCGAATCTCAGTCTGGAGTTAACTCGGTTTTATTCTTACCGCCTCACTGGGGTTGCTAGAATGTGTACCCCACTTTGGGTGAAGTCAAGTCGTATTCGTATCGACTGATCCCTGCCATAGGAATTTGCAATACAGTATACACCACTGACTCTGTGCTATACACGGAGATTAGCAGTGCCAATTAAGGACAACTTGACACTTTTCATAGCTTTTACAAACGATAAATTGATTTTCTGAATTAATCGAATTTAAAACTGAAATAAAGAACAGCACTGTGCACATTTGGCATAAGCTGCTAATCTTTTCCAAGTTTTCATTATTGCTGATTTACAAGATTGTCTCGTGAATTCTGAGGAAAAACATCACTAAACAATGCTAAGTTTGGTTGCTCTTGAGCCAGGTTTGCACCAGAGTATTTTTTCCAGCCTAGTAAATATCCCTGTGGAATATCCCCTTTTCAAAAATTAAAATACCCTCTGTTACACCTATATTTTAATAAATGAACGAAAAAGAGCATCTGAAAGCAAGAGCTCTGATGTTGTAACACTGTCCGGCGTTGCAATTTAGATACGTAAACATTACATGATAACATCTAAAATCAGGTCAGGTTGCTCTTATTGAATAGCTGACATTGAACATTTTTGGCCAAACAACTTAAACGCGCTGCATTTTTCAATAGCGGCATTACGAAATAAAAATGTGATTAGGACACCCAATTTCAAAAACACTTTGCTGGTCTCCCTACCATAGACTAAGAAAGTTGAGCACGACTCGGCATGGGTTTTCTTTTATCCTTTATAAAGAGTGGTTCACCACATGCCGAATGCCTGCTATATTTTTCAATATAGGTAGTCACGACATCAAAGAATAATGTCCAAAGTTGCACAACAGAAGCCCACCGATGTGACTTGGCAAGTCGTTTTGGTATCGTCTGGGGTCCTTTCCTGGAACACAATAAGAATGTTCACTAACAAATGTGGCTTAGGAAAGATGTTCATGTGTCTCATGGCTCTGACACACAAGTGGGGGGAGATGGGGATCAGTAATTTATGCACATTACTCCCCTTGATTTAACAACAACAGACTCGCAAATGGGTAAGGAGCCAACTGGAGCCCAATCGAAATTTGTAATCAAAATGTTCTGACATGGATAGACTCTACAATCTGATATTTGGTATTCTCAGTTTATAAATGAATCCATAATGGCAAAGTTAAATGATGCAACAACTTATGGAATAACATCACTTTCAAAAGGAATTATATCCATGTTGCTCCATTTCACACAGGACTGGAGCACCGTTAAAGTAATGTTGATTTGGATGAGAAGTGTGTCAAGATTAAAATAAGTTCTAAATATATCTACATGGCATACGACACAATGCTGACACCGATTTTGGGATCAAACAGATTTGAAATTTATGTCAAGGGCCAATGCCAGTCCAACAAACGGAATCGGGCTGCAAATTCAGTGGAAAGGCTCTGCTAATACTTCATAATGAAAGTCAAAATGAAAGCTACCTTCATCGATCTTTAGCAAGTCAACCAATACACGCGACGATGCAAATAATACATGGTAAGTTAAATTTAATGTTTTTTGTTCCACAACTGCAAACAATTGAGTTTTCATAACGCATGTCGGCTGCAATTTCTCATCCTGTTCCCTTGCCAAGATTGAGTGGGTTGTTAAGGTTGGGGTTATCGAGATAAGAGAGGTGAGGTCCAGGCCTAACATAGCTTTTCTAATTAGTTACATCAATGCACTCATTGGCTAATAGTGTGCACAGGTTTGTTGCAAAACATAAGCAACAAAGTTTAACAAACAAAAACGTTGCGAGCCCAAAACAAAACTGTATGTACTAAAGTGGCTCGGTTTAACTTCAAGATGCACACACGACATGCATGGGTGGTGTGAATGTTTGTGTGCAAGCATCACTAACTGTGGTACTATTCGGGCATTGAAATGTAAGTGTCACCGACAGGTTCGCAATGTTGTCGTTTGAATCATCCCCTCCGTTCCTAATCTAAATTTGTCCCCATTCCTTTTATAAAGTTGTCATTGCGGGACTGAAATTGCGTGCAAAGTCTCTTTGCGACCAATTCGAAAGCTAAAATCCGACACGAACAAAGTCTTGGCTTTCACATCGAGTCATCATTTGTAACACCACGTCATTAAAAGGAATTGCTCAAATAAGTTAAACCAAAACAAGGGGTGGGGCAAGTACCACCGTCAGTCGTTCTCCAATCACTGCCAAGTTAAGTGTCTTCCATGAGTGCAGCCCTCAATACAGCAACACTTTACTACAACACTGGACAACAACAGCAGCAGCAGCATCAGCAGCCAGGTGGAACAAGCACCAAATCTCCAGTGCACATTTCCATACCTGTGACGAAATTGGCAGACAACGAAATCTGTAGCGACCCTCGTACAGAACCAAGCCAATTCTCATAGCTGACGTGGAAAACTACAGCACCTCTCTCTCTATGTATACCTGCAATGTCTTTAAACACCTCTGCAGAACAGCAATTGTTGTTTAAATTGGGTGTTGTTTTCCAACATGGGAAAACGGGGACTTTTATACTCGGAAATTGTATCCAGTGAAGGCACACTGCGTCACATGATTCCTTGGGAGGGTCCCACGGTGGAATGTTAGTCCAATTCCTCAATGAGTACATAAAATTGCATGCGAGAGAAAACCACGGTTATAATTGTTTTTTTACCCTTCTATCTGGCAACAAAACTGACACCTTTTTTACAAGGAGTCATGTTTACATAGACCACAATACCTGCAGTCGTAATGCAAACAAAAAACATAACTCTGATAATGTGCACTGTCCTTGAAGTTGATTGGTCCACACCCGAGACAGCTTTCCTTAGAGCCTAGTCTCACATGGGTTGGACCAGATGACGCCAAAAGGCGCACGGTTCTTGGAGAGGGCTATTATTGACGTCTGGTTGGCCAGGGTTAGGGGCAGTGAGTGGGATAACACTCACGGCTGGTTGGCTCAGGGTCAGGAATAGCGTTTGGATGTTTAGTGTGTTATGCCACACAACTGTTTCGCACTCCTCCCCAATGCAAGTCTTCTCAGTGTTTGACCAATGTTTGTAGAGTTTATAGCGTCACCACGCTCATTCCAGAGAAGGGGGCATTCATTGGTGACATCGATGTGTGATACAAACATACACAGGTTCGTACGTTCACATGTTTTGTGGACAAGGAGGAAGTTCTCTTTCGTCCCAAAGCAAAAGCATAGTTGAGGAATTTGCTGTTCCTGACAACGATCTGAGCAAGATTTTCCGAATACGATAATGTTACGATGAGGGTTACAATTGAGTGTTTAGGAAATGTTAAAGTGGAGACAGAATCTGAATTAAAGACAGAGTAAAGTTAGGTTAAGGATTCAATTGCAACGGTTAGTGTTAGGCTGGGTTTAGAGCTAAAGTTATGAATAGGGTTAGCATTAAAGAAAGCACCAAAGAGTATAGATCCTTGCAGTCACGAAAACTTCAAATCTAGAATTAGCGTTAAGTTCCCCATTAGTGTTAAGGTACAGTACATGGAACTGGAGCAGGTGGTATTAGTAGTGATGGTGGCGGTGCTGTTGGGGTTGTAGTGACAATACCATCCTGACCTCCTTTTAGCCAAAACATGACTAACTTCACATGCAAAGTGTGTATGAGTTCGCGTTACACTCCACCATGGTGGGGAAGGTTACTTGGACACAATCCATTGACTCATTGACAAAGCACGAGGCTTTCACTAGCGCCTTGCTCATTCTTGACTGTCAATGCACGCACTCGTACACACAAAAGAAATACAAAAAACCTTACAGATAAGCAAATGGACCTCTGCTTGGACGGACAAAAATTACCAAAAGTTTAAAGTATAAAAGTTAATAAAAATATCAAGTGGAAAAGACAATGTAACTTTTTTGTGCGTGCATGCCAAAGTGTGCATGCAGTGTATTGTGTTTCTCTCCCACAATGCATTGTGGCTTAACGGTTGTTTCATTGGAGCGTCGTTATTATTATCCACGAAATGCACTCAAACGCATCACAAAGCGCAGGGAGGTCTGGTTCGGCTCAGGACTCGCTGCCCACACTGCCACCCAAACCATTTTCAAGTTACAACGTCCTCTGACCTGCGAGCGTAACGCAGTTTACACGTAAACGTCATCGAATAATCCGTCGCAATTAACTCACAAAAAATACTGCAATCTTAAACATCAGAAATGAGGCCAGATAGAGAAAAAAAAGTACACTTTTTTTTTACATTTGACAAACATGATCAGCCAAAATTCTGATGAATTATTTTTCATTTCATCCATGAATTGCTGAATCCGCCTCTGCGGATCACCAGCTAAGTGAATGGCCGGACCAGCCTGGGCAACACCACTCCATCCCCACGTTTAGTGATGGAAGTCCTCAGCCTCAGTGGGCAGCTGCTTCATGCCCATCCCGTGGGGAAACTACTTCCCAGGGCACCAGTATTAGGTCACCCCACTCTACCTCTAAACTGCTCATGTTTGAGCAGAAACAATGGTAACAAACATGTGATCCCATTGTGCTACCGAAAGAGCTTTCACGCATTTCTGAAAGGGGATGAAAATGTGGGCACGTGTACCCATGCGTGAAGCAAATACTGTGCATCAACTATATATGCACACACACATATATTGTAAATATATATGTATAATGTACATATATACACATTTCTACACACGTACAATGTGTATATACAGTATAAATAATGCATATACAGTACACACATGCATACATATACAGTAAATACACATACATACATAAAAACACACAAACTATACGCTGTAAGTATGCATACACGATCACATCTCTTTGCCTGAGCCAGCTATTCCTTTGGCAATAGCGAGCCACACGCAAGCGACAGATTTGCTGTCACGAGATGGTGCCAGTCAACAAAAGGGACATTGCCCCTCAGTTAAGACGTTATGAGACTCAAGCACACCACACATTGGACTCCGTAACAAATAGAAACCACTTATAACACATTTATAATCCATAGCACTGATCGGCATGGCACTCACGTTGACTTTTCACTTCCACGCCGAATTTCATGGCTGATGTATGTCGTCCCAGTCGCCAACCTTACTAGGTGTGAAAACGACACGTGCAATCTTGATAATTGCATCAAATGCCGATTAGAATGACGTATTTTCGCAAGTGTTACAGATGCCTGGCGAGTTGACAGGCGTTTAGGTTGCAGGGTATCCTGGGAAATACCCACAATACTTTGCAAGCTGCATGAAAGAGCAGCCAGATGTAATCACGGTTAGTAAGAGGGAGCATTCACGTGTGCCCCTGTCAAATTTAGTTTCAGTTTTCCCATGGCCCACAGAATTCACAAGGTAAAATTGATGCCTAACCTTGACATTTACAATGAGACCACGCTCAAGTGAATCATTCTTGGGCAAGTCACACATGCACCTGCTAATCAGCGTCAAAACACCCACGCATGCACTAATAATACAATTAACAGCATAACATTCTCATACTTTCCAGTGGGTAAATTATCAATCGCACTCATCCCACACACACACACATCACCCCCCTTCTGGCCTACATAGTCTGGTCAGGGCAAATAATGTTCGCAAGCACCTCTCAAGGCTGGCACAGTACACGGATGAGCAGTATGACCTGCATCACGTATGCCCCAGCCACTATTGTCTCCCCAGTGCTGATGATGAATAGTACAACAAGGTGGCACCTCACTTTTAAGGCAGAGTCAACGTAGGAGAGGCTAGTGCCAGGATAAGAAAATTTGCCCACTCTTTCAATTGTCACACCTGGAGACTGAACCGACAACATCTGGATTGCAAGTCTTGTGTACAGGTAGTCCCCGAGTTACGATGGTCCGACTTACGATATTTCGATCTTACGATGGCGATAGCGATTCGACAAAATTGCCATCAACAACCTAACATCGTTCAAGTATGCAGACGACGGACAGAATCTTGATGAGTACAGTACAATATGATACGTTACGATACGTTCAATGCATGTATGATACGTAGCTTTAGCAATTTCATTTCAAGGTTACCACAATAAATGTCACTGTTTTGCTAAATTATCACCATTCTTTAAGACTCCTGGGTAGGCGAGGTCATCTTCGACTTACGATCTTTTCGACTTATGATGGGGTCGTCGTAACGCATCTCCATCGTAAATAGAGGACTACCTGTACTGACCATTACGCTGTGGCAGCATCCCAGTCTATCAATAATCCAGTAATTGATGCATCTCGTGTCAAGATATTTAATCCAGGTGGATGGGAATGTGACACATTGGTGCTCGGTTTACCTATGATCCTCTAATTATGCAGTCACGTACTTCCACAAACATGCACCCATGCACGCACACAAAGACACACAGACAACAAAACATCACGACTGGTGTGCAATTCCCGTGAGGGTAAACAATTGGCAGGTCAGTGTTAAATCATCGCGACAATGAAATTAACATCCGGCTACCTGCAAAATGTGTGACATGGCAATTCATTACAATTTATAATGAGGGTGAAGTGTTTAACAATTCATAGTAAAACCTAGCTAAGTGAAATGATAACAGGAACATAAAAGGATTTTGTCATTCCTTTCAAAATGACCATCTTTGAGTTATCAAGATTGCATGCTGCGTTTCACCAACTTCCTCGATTTACTTTTTGTGGAAATCATAAACGTAGCAATGCAGTCCCCTCCCTGTTGGGTGCCAGTGTTTCTACAGGTGTATGTGTACGTACATACGTGTGTTTGTGTACAAATGCGAACACAAACGCAAAGTGTGTACACAAACACACACAACAGTGCACCGTTTGTATATTTTGCAATGAAAGATGATGGGAGGAGCGTGGTGGGTTTTTGAGCAACGTACAGAATTCGAAATTCATTACTCAAAAAGACTAAGTTTGAAAGTACTATTTTATAGAATGCTTGGAATTGGATCATTCCTGCTCAAAAGTACTTTGTTATTTAGTGTGTGGGAGGAAACCGCAGTGCTTGGGGAAAAAAACTCAAGCATTCAAGAGAACAAACTCCACCGCACGCATTACGCCTGTCATTGAAAACGTCCACCACAATGGGTCATAAACTTGCTGGCTGTACCACCTAACCGAACCACCAGAAATCTATGCAGCCGAATGTCTTAAACACATTATCATGATCATCATAAAATGATAACAGATCTGGCTTAAACCACCGATTCACAATTTTCATCCTTTCGCATCCACCACCAATTTCTCTCACAGCAGCCAAACTGTGACACACTCGTAAATTCCTAAAAGCTTCCACTCCGAGCCTCACCGGAGATTTTCCCCATGTATTCCGTGTCACCTTGGGAGAGATCAAGCGCGCACGCACACATCACAGCGCCGCCATGTGTAGCTTCTGGTGACTGCGCAGCCGCGACTTGCGGCGAAACGAGCGGCCGCACACCTCGCACTCGAATTCTGGCGGTGGCGGTGGCGGGGGTGGTGGGGGCGGCGGCAGCAACGAAAGCGGCGACGACGGCGGCTGCGGTGAAGACGGGCTGCTGGGCGCGTCGGCGTTGCTCAAGCACAGCTTGTCGAGGAAACCTGCGCCGCGGCCGCCCTTCCGCGGCGAGCCGTGCAGCGCCGCGTGCATCCGCTGGTGCTTCCGCAGGTTGTCGCGCCGCGAGTACGACTTGTCGCACACCTCGCATGGGTAGCGGGCCTCCTCCGCCGCAGCCTCGTGCTCCAGACTGTGGCTCGCCAGGTACGCGGCGCGCGTGAAGCTCTTTCCGCAGTCTTCGCAGCGGAAGCCTGGGGCCTCGGCTCCCGAGTCGCCAGCGGGCGTCTCCTCTTCCTCCGTCGCAGCTGCCGCAGCCGCCGCTGCCGCGGCTTCAGCCGCGCGCTCGTGCTTTTTCTTGTGCGATAGAAGCGAGGAGAGATGCACGTAAGCACGGTCGCATTCGGTGCACTTGTGCGCCTTCTCAGCCTTGGGAGGCTTCTCAGGAGAAAGGTTGGGCCCGTCGTCCATGACCATCGAGCCGCGCCTCACAGGAGTCATCGCACGCCTGTCTGTCGGCACAAAGGATCCCGAGTACTTGCGGTAGCGCCGATCGGCCATGTCTGCAAGGGAGAAATTAACAGGATTTAGTGGGATCAGTGAATTGTGGAAATGCGACTCTTCCTACCTCAAGGTAGGTGAAAATAACCTGTGTTCGACCAGTTACGTGCTAATCAAGAGGGCCTGACAAAGTGTGTGAGTTAGTGGTTGGTGGTTTCACTCTGAATGTTGCTATATGGAAATGCAGACGATACCAGATTAAATCGCTTATAGTTCGACTCGTACAATGAAAAGGACAAAAAAAAACTTTCACCTGCATGGGCAAACTATTGGGCCAGCGATACAGTAAAACCCCAGATAGCCAACTAAAAAGTCCGGCTTGCTGCGATTGTAATCAAAATACAGTGAAATCTCTTAATTCATTCTTTTTCTTTTCTCACGAAATTTGATTAAATATTCGTATACCAGGTTAACTTTCACACCTTTTTCCTTTGACTATTCGCGATTTGAAAACATTGCATCATGGGGGGGGAGGGGGTACTGTGCTTGCGAAATACAGCAGCGGATTGTGGCCCGTGTGCCGTGACACACATGCTGAAGCTTTTTACTCTTTAAATGCCGCTGCCTTTTGCATTCCGTTTGCCTTCGTTGTGGTGGGTCCTTTATATTTCGATCATGGGATCTAAGCGTCAAGTGAGTGGAGGAGGTTAGAGTAAAAGGCAGAAACAAATGAACGAGTTTAGCTATAAAAGTGGAATCGTTGGAAAGACTTGCTTGTGCGTCTGGTGTTGGCCGCCATTACATTGTAAATGAGTCAACGGTTGGATTTAGCAATAAAAATTTTTAGAAGGCAATTAGGAAAAGTGTGGCGGAAAGTGCACCGATGACTGCCAAAGTAGCATCATCATAATCACACCCCATCATCATCCAGGGTAAATAAAACTTCAAAATTTACAGTACACTGGAATGTATTATGTATTTTTTGTTGTATCGTTTATGTTATAAATTTGTATTATTTTTGTACAATCTAATTAAGTATATGGCTGTTATTTATGTGCACAGTACAGGATTAATGCGATTGTAGTGGGTTGTATGGAGACAGGGAGTCTTCTTAGGAGGCAACACGCATTAATTTAACAGTAACACAGAAGGTCCCTAACACGAAGGGGTAATGACCCCTTCTACCCAACAACCTAAGGGAGGTACAGCCTCCGGGCTAACGTGCCCTAGCCACTGGCACCAACCACTCTTCGCCCTCCGGCTAACGGGACCTAGGGGAAGCTGACCCGACCCACTGGCCCACTCAGACCCGGCCCTGAGAAGGACGTCGGGTCCGGGGATCCTCAGGGTCCGAGCCTACTGACAGCTGGCCTCACGGAGCTCCGGCCCTTAGAAGGACGGCGGAGCTTGGGGTCCAGGGCCCCATCTTCAGGCGACCTCTTGGGTCTTTGGCTTGACGCTGACTGACTCGAGCTGCTCTGGGGTCAGGCTTTTATGGGGCTCCCAGGGTCACGACGCCCCTGGCCACGCCCACCCTCTGGAACCTTCTGGAGGGACCTAGATTGTTGCGCAATCCCCCAGCCCCCACTGGGGGCCTGGGGTGTCCCCCTCTGGTTCCTAACCGCCCCCCAGGTTGCCTAACCCACGAGTCCTACCAAGTACAGACCGGACCCCCTATTGCCCCCTGTTGGGCCCTGACTGGTGGTACATGTTTAATCGCAGTGGTGGCGGCGTATTACGCCCGACAATTACCCAACACGATGAAGCATTTTAATTTTCTCCTGTAAGTTCAGTCGGACATGGGAACCTAACCTTGCGCATATTTTCAAGAATATAACTCTCGCGTATGTCGTGGCCTGACCGTAATGTAAAAAAACATCCACTGTAAACTAATTGTGCAGTGTAATTTCTCGGCAACCACAAGCACAACTCCCACTATTTTTCTCATGAACAAAAAAAAACACTTTCAAATTAAGGGTCTACAATTACATAAGGTGAGCAACAGTTTGTAAGTAATTTGATAATAACATCATCACCATCCAATAACTCCAATAACCATAAAAGCCCCTCACAGCCCCACCTGCCTATTATGCCTATTACTGGCGGAGCCAGTGGGGGGGGGGGGCACGTGCCCCCCAAATGATCTGATGAAAATCCCCAATTTCGATCAGATCATTGGGGTTTATTAGTAATAAATCGGCATTTTGCGACCCCCACTGCCACTGTGTAGCATATTATTATGTGGCAGGGACTCTATGAGATGATAGGACAATAGTCTGAGTCCATAATTGGCAATAAGTAACGGCAAAGCAGTTATAAGTGACTCAGAATTGTGCGCAGTTGCGTATAGAGTCCACGACTTCCCTGAAGGCATTCACCTTCAGCGAGCGCGATGCCGATTACACACAGTTCGAATTCGACCCTCGATCGATGGCTGCGCCATCATCGCACACGCGTCGAATAAAAAGCAAGGAACAAGTCCTTATTAACAACTCCTCTATCATTTTTCATTGCTGGAGGGGTTGCCCGCCCTACCTGAAAATCCTGGCTCCGCCATTGCTGCCTATTCCATTATCGTACATAATTAATAACAATAAACTGCACTTGTAAGAAACACAGGGTAGGGCTGTGGGCGGGTGTGCTATGATTAATAGAAGCTAGCCCCTGACCCACAAATGGCTAAACAAATTAATAAGACTCCCAGCTCATAAGAGGCTCTCAAAATTGATGTCCCATTGTGAGGAAAAAAATTAATTGGTGCATTCTGAGCAGGTAGTCACATGGGTTGTGTGCGCTCTCTGCATGCGTGCCGTTTATATTTAACTTAGTTAATGTAGAGCAAATATGTGCAGTGATTAGTATCTCCAGTGGCCTGTCCTCGCCTTGTCTGCCAATGGAAATTTAAAACGTTTAAATGTTTACTGCTCGTTATATTTTCTCCTTCTGTTCTTTCTTTCGTCACAAGGTGGCGTGTATGCTATCATGTATGGTGACATCTGGTCACGGTGTTGGAAACGTGCTGAAAATTTCCATCTCATTTTACAGATGTTCACGTCTCGACAGCAGGAACCATTGTATGAATAATCCATTAGGCGGATACATTTTGCAAAGGTCAGGGAGCTTAATACACGAGGCAAATGTTATTACATGTGGAAGCGTGTAACGTGATACTATGACTTGAACCTTTTGGATTGCCAATCGCTGGCAGATTCTAGTAAAATGGACAGGACGTTGAGTGGATATGAGAGTACCACACACAAGGCTTGTATACAAGAGTGAACATTCATGCCCTTAAACAAGTGGCTTTTATAAAGGCGAATGAAAAGGTATTGGACGCACCCATATCAGGTATCCCATCCCCGTCTGCGTGATCCAAGCCAAAGTCTTCATCATCTGAAAAATGGCATGCACACATATAGACAATTGATGATATGTATTAGGACACATTCAAATCAAACCCAGCTATCCACACATAACTGTAGACACAAGGATTACCCCTATGTTTTATCTATATATAGAGTGCCGTTAGTGAGTCTCTATTAGCCCAAGTGGCAAACAAGAGGGTGGTGTGTCCAGCACTGTGTCCACACCTCTGTCTTCCTATTGCTAATAATGATGACAAAAGACACCACTAACTCATTGGAGACCGGGTTAACCTAGGGGAGGGCCCATGATAGGTTCAGATAACACATCACGAGTCAGCGATGTTACCCGAGACCAGGAATCAAACTCTGGTTGCCCAGTTCATATAATACTGGGCACAAATGACTAAACTGCAGCAACCCACGAACAAACACACGCGCACAAATACCTGTACAGACAACTTACAAGTACGCACACCTATCTACGCACTGGCACATGAATGCAGACATGCGAATAAAGCCGTGCCTACAATCACGTTTTAATTTGCCGAATCGAAGGAAGAACAAATGAAAATCAAAGCATCGGCGCTGAGAACTGCGGGCTGCTGGAGACCATGTGACCACCACACCAGAGGTGGGGGCAGGCAGGAAGGAAGGAGCCACCGGGGACAATAGCTGTGACAGCAACAATTATAGCCCCGGCCACACGCACATGGCGAGGGAGAGACAGACACACACACACACACACATGGGATGGGGACACAGTGAGAACAAAAGATATAGAGACATGCGAGAGAGGGAAACATAAAGTAATATGGAGGGATCAAGAGAGACAGATAAAAAAATACACAGGGAGTCCGAGAGAAAGGAGGAATGACAGATCAACAGAGAGACAGATACAGAGAGGGAAAAGGATACAGCGATGGGGGCAAGACGGGAAGAGAAGAAAAGACGGGAAGAGAGGAAGAAACGGAGAGACAGGAAGACGGAGGGAAACCGAGAGACCCGTGACAAAATACACTTAGAGACAGCAGTACTGTAGACAGAGGAGAAGACCGAGATAAAGAGGGAGGGAAAGATGTGATTAAAAACTAAAAATATGACCAAAAAAACTTTTGGGTTTTGAGTTCCGAATACCTAGAGAAGGTATTTGTTAATAGGGTTTTTTCCCCTTTTTTCTGGCATCAAAACTGACACCTTTTGCAAGGAATCATGTTTACATTAACCGCAATACTTGCAGTCAAATGCAAACAAAAAACAATACTCTTGAACTATGCGCCTTTTGGCGTCATCTGGTCGAACACCATATGAGACTAGGCTCTAAAGAAAGCTGTCTCTGGTGTGGACCAATCAGTTTCAAGGACAATGCATAAATTATCAGAGTATTCATCTTCTTGGTTCTTTCGGTAAAAGTCACGTAGAAGGGAAGTAATAAAATAATAAAAATAAAACATAACAAAACAATTCTCACGACGTTTCGGCCACAACGCAAGCAGCCGTCCTCAGGTGAAAACCAGGTCCGTCGAGGCGACAGAGTCTGAATGACTTAAATCGAAATCTGTCGCCTCGACGGACCTGGTTTTCACCTGAGGACGGCTGCTTGCGTTGTGGCCGAAACGTCGTGAGAATTGTTTTGTTATGTTTTATTTTTATTATTTTATTACTTCCCTTCTACGTGACTTTACCGAAAGAACCAAGAAGATGAATCCCTGCAGTCACGAAAGCTTTAAATCGAAATTTATCAGAGTATTGTTTTTTGTTTGCATTTGACTGCAAACATTGTGGTTAATGTAAACATGATTCCTTGCAAAAGGTGTCAGTTTTGTTGCCAGAAAAAAGGGGAAAAAACCCTATTAGTATATTTTGGTACTGGCAAAGGAGGTCCCATAAAGTATTTGTTATTCGGCAGAATAATAAAAAGCACAAATCAGTACACCCTTACTAAAAACGCAAATCGCGCTCCATACCTACACACACTCACCAACACAGATACCACACACTCACTCACCTTCCATTGGAGCCTGATCCAGGCCAAATCCTTCTTCCTCGGATTTCATTTGGAATAAATCTGTTAACTCGGGATCTGACATGACTGAAACTGCAAACACGACCACACAAAAACACACGTGTAATTAGGTCGTGTTTGTGGACGAATGCAGATCAGACTGGCATAGCATGGCTCCCAATCATAAGGCTACAAATGTTAAAAAACTTCCATCCAGGTTCAACCCAACTCAGTTTCACCTTTGCAAACACCATCCCTTTGGAGTAAGGATGTAACATTTGGTGAAGCAAATACAACAGCAGAGACTGATCCCATAGGACAAATGACATGTACGCACTCGTACATATCTACACACACACAAGACAAAGATCCCATGTATAGCCTTAACAGACTGGAAGGGCAAATGTTGTTAGCAAGCATCCATGAAGGCCAGCACAGTACACGAGGGGGGTGTGTGGCCAGCACCATGCTCAACCACCTTTATCTCCCCATAGGGGATGTTTACACACCGCATTAGGTACTAATTTGAGACTGAGTCGACCTAGGGGAGTCCCAGGACCGGTTCAGATAATTGTCACTGGTGGTGGCCGTGAGCGGATATCAACCCGGGTTGCCAGGTTCGTAGCGCAGCACGCTAACCGCTACACTACCGCTACACACATTCAGACATATGCACACGCATGTATACACACACCCCACCGAGAAATCTTCAGATAAACTACACGCTCAGGGTGCACAGAATATTTGGATGGAATTTGGATGCGGCCAGTATCCATCTGGTCTATTTTTCAATATTTGTTTCTTAATGAACAGTAAAAGGAGCAAAATAAATCATTTAAATTAATGTTTAACTCATATTAAGTCTAATAATTCAATTATCCCACACAACAGTGTAAAATCATTAAGATATTCAGCTCAACGTGCCTGAGTCATGTGATATGGGGTTTGGGTGGTGAAGACACTACTCAATACAAACAATGTGACATCTGTTCAGTGGTGTTCATGTGTTTTAATCTCTCTACATCTCTCTCCCTTGCATCGCCTCTGAATACATCTCCATCATACATCTTCAATCCCTTCTGAATACACCTCCATTCAATCTCTTCGTTCTCTTATCAATCTACCCAGGGGTTTCCAATCTGTATTTGGCCTTCATAGAAGTCTTTTTATGAACAGAAAAGACAAGACTTGACATTTGGCAAGAATTACAAGAATGTTGCCACGCGTTAACCACGTGGCTGAAGAAAAAAAATACAAAAATTATTGTATCGGCGACAAAAACCGAGGTTTAAGTTTAGACATAACACATCTCTTGTTTCTGTTTTTATATCTCTTCTGAATACATCTATGTCTCTTGCTTATTCCTCCAACATACATCTCACCAACCGACCCATTACCCATGGATAGTTCAGGGGGTGGAGGGTTTGACAACAAAGTGGCACGCTTCAACTCTTTGTTCCAAGCTTCAGGTTCAGCAGCAGTCTCCAACTCCTTCTCAGTGAGCAGCTGTTACCAGGCCATCAGCATACAAAACATGGCTGAACAACAGGGAGATCTTTTTTAACTGTACCTAGCCATTGATCGGCCTCCCAATGTATCTGTACCATATGGATATTCTATTACGACAGCCATGGACGGCTTCTTGAAATAGTAAAAACATTTTTTTATAGTATAGGAGTCATATTTCAGTCACACCCAAATGTGAACAGAAAATGTCTAAGACTCGTGGCCATGCAGCTTCACCCAGGCCTATTCACTAACATCAAGGTCTTTAACGATTGTGAGCGGGTCAGTAACCCAGAACGCACAAATCTCAAATGAAAGCCCTGGCTTCTTCATGGGGGGTGGGTGGCCAGTACCACGCCCGGCCGCCTTTGTTGCTCCCATGCGGATGTTTACACACCACACTAGGTACTCATTTTAGGCCGAGTCGACCTAAGAAAGGCCGAGTATCAGTTTAGATATTGAACACCGTGAGCAGAAATCGAACTTGGGTCGCCAGGTATGTAGCGCAGTGCACTCACCACTACACTACCGCTCCAAACCAAACACACCAACACAAAAATCCCCTGTATAGCCCTAACATACTGTTGGGGAAAGTGCTGTTGACGATCACCTGAAGGCCGACACGGCGCATGAGGGGGTGGGTGGGCAGCACTGTGCCCGACCGCCTTAGTCTCCCTAGTGGTGATGTTTACACTACTCATTTTACAATAAATCGACCTAAGGGAGGCCCAGGACCGGTTCAGATTATCGTCACTGATGTTGGCCGTGAGTGGGAACCGAACTTGGGTCGCCGGGTTCGCATACGTGGCGTGCAAACCGCTACACTACCGCAACACACACAAACGCATTCATCCACACAAACCACCACAGAGACTCCGACACACACAGAGTGCTCTCTACCGAAGGGGTGATGGGCGCTGTGCGTGTCTCTGTGCGCGGCGAGCGCTGCCGCCGCCAGGCACATGAGGCCGCACTCGCCGCAGCGGTACTCGCGCTCACGCTCGTGGATCTCCTCGTGCTTCTTGAGGAAGGCGCGGTGCAGGAAGGACTTGCCGCACACCTCGCACGAGTGCGGCATGCTGCCCGAGTGCACCGTCTCATGCAGCCGCAGGTTCGACAGGCGCCGGAAAGTCTTGCCGCACACGGGGCACTCCAGCGTCGCCTCGGGCATGGGCATGGCGGGCCGCTTGCGCGAGTGTCGCCGCTGGTGCTTCTGCAGGCACTGCTGCACACGGAACGCCTTGCCGCACGTCTCGCACACGTACGGCTTCTGGCCCGTGTGGATACGCCGGTGCTCATTGAGCGTGTACGCGTCGAGGAACGCCATGCCGCAGTCCGTGCACACGAAGTTGCGCTCGCCCGAGTGGCGCTTGAGGTGCATGGTGAGCGAGCAGCGGTGGATGAACGCCTTGCCGCACAGCTCGCACTGGAAGGGCCGTTCGCCCGTGTGCGAGCGCAGGTGCGCCACGAGCTGAGCGTTGCGCGCATAGATGTTTCCGCACTCCTTGCAGATGTATGGGTTGTTGTCGGAGTGCAGGCGCTTGTGCGCGCGCAGCGCAGGCTTGTGCTTGTACGACTTGCCGCAAACCTCGCAGACGTAGCGCTTCACGTCCGAGTGACACGCCTTGTGCTCCATCAGGTAGTTGGATGACACGAAGCCCTTCTTGCACACCTCGCACACGTACGGCCGCTCGCCCGTGTGCTGCCGCTTGTGCTGCACGAGCTTTTGCTTCTTGGCGAACGTCTTGTCGCACACGTCGCACACGAACGGTTTAGGCGGCGGCCCACTGTGCGTCGCCTTGTGCACCGTCAGATAGTAGCCCTGCGTGAAGCCCTTGCTGCAAATGTCGCACACGTAGGGCTTCTCGCCCGTGTGGATGCGCGCATGCAGCCGCAACTTGTACTTGCTGGCGAAGGTCTTCCCGCAGTGCGACTCCTTGCACTTGAAGGGGCGCTCGTTGGTGGAGCGCGACACCGTCTTGTAGGGGAGCATCTTAGGGCGTGAGCGGAACATGTGCACCGCCTTCTGCTGCTGCTCATCGTCCTCTTCATCCTCCTCTTCCTCCTCCTCCACCTCCAGCTCCTCCCCGTTGTTATTCTCAATGTCGTCGTCCTCTGGTTTTTGCTCGTATTTTGGCGACAGTGATGGCGAGGAGGAGTTGTCCATCTCAGCGTTGACTGTAGGAACATGAATACACCATCGTCATTACCATGGTTATCGTCATTCGTTGGCTCGTGTTAGCAAGGGCAGCTCTTCACACAGGCAACACTGTGGTCATTCAGTTTTACTTTGTGTTTCTTATAATTGGCAGAAATTACTCGACACCTCGATTATGCTCAGCATCCACACGCTGAGAAAAGCATTTTCATTTGCAAATGTTCGTACAAACTGCAGCACCATACATGACATTGGCGAACGGCACTGTTAGTCACATCTGTGGCCTTAATTGATTTTTGTCATCCAAGGGTTCTATCTTACGACAAAGCTAAGACTTTGAAATTTGGCTGTGTACTGAGTAAGCGCTTATCTCTGAGCGTATCTGCAAAGCCTGTGCAGGCCACATTTAGAGCAAATCCAAATTGAAATAATATTTTTAGCGTGCAGTCTCTGGTGACCAGGTTAATATTATCCAACTCATTAATATTTGACAATCAGTTTTAATTAAATTAAACACTATGGGATTGCGTGGCAGTGGTGTATAAGTGCAAATAGAATTAAAAAAGCACCACTTTCATTATTAAATTATGGGTTTTTTCACTTAAGGCAGCCCAACGCAAATGTCCACTTGCAGTAGTGCCACCTTGCTTTCCAGCCATTTGTGAAGCTCCCAAATTTGCCTTTGAATATATTAAAGAATGCTTGAGCGGAGTACGACATATGTCAAGGATGGAGGAGAGCCGATTGCTGAGACAGACAATGGAGTCGTTTCGACGAGTCCAGCGACCAAGGGAAAGACCAGACGGTGGGATCCTGTTAGGGCTGATCCAAGAGGTCGCGTGTCTACTATGCAGCAACAGCTGTGTAGTGTGGCAGAAGGCAGAAAGCGTACGAGGTGTGGTGACATCAACAGCTTTGGCCACCATGACACCGTGAGTTTGATCTTTTTAAATTTGCATAATGTGCCTGGGTAGGTCAGAGGCCTAATATTGAGCACACAGCCAGCACTACTAAGATCCTAGGTTCAAATCCACATTTCAGCCATCCATAACTAAACCAGATTAAGTGCAGTAAATTCATCATATCAAATATGGCTTTTTACTTAATTTGGCTGAGGGGAGCTAAAACTTTCATGTTTGATTTCCATGACAAATATAGCTCTCAGGCAGGTATGTGATAATATGCACCGAGTCACCATAAGAAACAATTCAAGAGATGTCAGACCAGAAGCTGCTCTCTTAACGTGGGGTGATGCATCACTTTCTATGAAAGTTGCAAATTTCATCTCAGGACATAATGCAGATAGCACAATTGAATTATAAATATATATGTATCTGTTCAGCCCTTTGTCAACCCACTACTGGATAAAGGGCTCCCCATGCCCTGTCGGTCATGGGGGTTTTATAACCATACTTCACCAGGCAGGTTAGCGTGGGTTGATTCAGCATTTAATAAGCAACTCATGTTAGCTGTGGCTGGGAAATGAACACAGGTTAATAATAATGATTTGTTTTGATATAGCACCAAATATGCCGGGTTGTCTCCAAGTGATAAAACATCAGGTTGCCGGGTTCATAGCGCAGTCCGTGAACCACTGAACCAGTGCTCCAACCCATGAAATATCATCATCAGTCAGGGTCAAGGCCTCCCCAATTCACTGCCATCTCTCACAATCCTGCCATGTAATAATCCACCCAACACTTGCTGCTCCCTCATTATTCCCGACCCTTGGCAATCTTTCCTGCCAGCGACACGTCCAGCCATTGGAGCTCACTTACTTTTATAAACTTTTTTCAAAGATAGAATTAACATGTTAATGTTTTCAAATAAACGTGTTCCTCTTCCAGTGCCTCATTGTAATTGAGGAGGGTGGGGGCTCAGAAGTGGGAAAACACATTTTTTAAAGTTTAATAAAGCCTGCACAATCCACCAAATCTGGCCTGCGGAGTTCTAGATTAGAGGCGTATTGCCTTTCCACCGTGACTCACTCGCATATCCCGCTCGCTGTGCGGCGCGGATGACGCTCGCCCCCTCCCACGTGTCTCCGTCCATGTCTCCGTCGTAGTGTTCCTCCATTTCTGACATCGTCACACCTGTGCGAGGGCGAGAGCAATAGATGCGTGAGCACAAAGCCCGCAAAAACACAAAGACAAAGATCCGCTCCCCCCGTATAGCCTTAACAGATTGTTGGGACAAATGCTGGTAGCGAGCACCTATGAAGGACGGCACGGTACATGAGTGGGTGGGTGGGCAGCACCACGCCCGGCCGCCTTTGTCTCCCTTGTGGAGATGTTGACACACCGCACGATATACTCATGTGAGGCTGAGTCGACCTAGGGGAGAATCAGCACTGGTTCAGATAATCGTCACTGGTGTTGGCCGTGAGCGGGCATTGAACTCAGGTTGCTGGGTTCATAGCACAGTGCGGTGACCGCTATACTCCCGTTCAAGAACATACACGCAACGCAAGCACGTACATGTGTGCACACACCCACACGTATCATTACACCAGTTAAACCCCGTCGGCCGGGTTACAGATCCGGTACGTAGGCTAATGTTAGTGAGCGCCTATTATGCTCACGTTTCCCCCAGTGTGAGATTTGATTAACAAACACAATAAGACCTGCTTCAGGAAAAACCTGACTTTGTGGTGGTTTGTGTTTGTATGTGTCTACGTAAATGTGTAAAACGCTCCTATGAAAAAAACCACTCGACCTGAAACTATAGCTGATTGTGCTGTGTATTTTTCAGCTATAAGGCAGTGTTTGTAATGACACTGGTACAGTGTTTGCAACCTGTGATTCTACACCACTGCCAACACGGTAGATAAAACGTAACGTCTTCATGTGTCTATTAAATATTAGAAATAAATAGATGTACAGCCACTTTGTCACTCCACTCCTAGACGAGGGCCTATGAATGCCACGTGGGTCGTGAAGGTTATTTGACCATACTTCACCACCCCGATTAGTGGTGGCTGGCAAAGGCAGGGAGCATGGACGTGGGAACATAAGAGTACGATAAAACAATGGATTTTTCTGCACCTACACTCTCCTGCCCATAACTTAGTCCCACATCCCTATAATGAACCTTTTTGTGCATGGTGGTCACCCATCCAAGTACAATTCGTGCTCAGCCTTGCTTAACTTACAAGCTATTGTAATGACATGGTGACATCTGCTGGCCGGGAAAGGGAAGCACAGGTACAGACACGGTTAAAGGAACAACCAATCAGAGAAGGAGAGGTATCTGGGGCAAAGGTAACAGGTGGGGTTAGCCGAGATACTCCAGGGAGCTGCTCGAAGGTTCCACGAGAGGGCATGGCCGGAGGCGGGGCCTAGCCATGCCTGGGGGGATATAAGGGGGAGCGGACCCGGGGCTCGGGGTTCGTGTGTGGGGTCTGGGTCCTGGCTGCGTCGCTGCTCGCCGACATCTCTCTCCGTCGTCCGTTCACGTGAAAAATCTCCTGCGGGGGTTCCATCGCCATCATCGTTACGCCGCCAGCCAGCGGCGTAGCCGAGTGAGGGCGGTGGGACCACGCCGAGTGATCGGCGGTGTGTAGCCAGTAGAGACGTTAATATCTAAGTATTGTACTCAGAGTGAGAAGAATAAGGTTGGCCTGTGTTGTGCTCAGTGTGAGAAATAAAAGAAGTACCCTCTACACGACGTGTCGCGGAAGTCGCTCATTACACTATGATGAGCTTGGATGCATTCCGGATGATTTGTTTTTTCACACTGGACATAGATTCAATGTGTATACTGCATTTACAAGGCACGTACCGATTCACCGCCCTGATGATTGGTTAAATTGTTTGTCATCTCGCTCTTGCTGTCTTGTTGAAGCAATCTGTATCGCATGTTCTAACTGTGATGCTGCCGTGGTGTAATGGTTAGCGCTAGGGCTTAACGATTAATCGATTTCAAATCGAAATCGCAATTTGAAACAATGCGATTAGCAAATCGCAAAGGTTGCCATTTTTAGTGATTTGAAAAGTCCTATTACTTTCTTATTGGAATTTTTTATTTTGTATTATTATAACTTTTATTTATTTAACTTAACAATTGTTCTATGTTTGATTGTTCTATTTCAATTAAAACATTTTAATAAATACATGTTGGAAGCAATTCATATCTTTTAAGTTCTCATCCTTGCATAAGAATATTTTGAGCAGTTCACATTTTTCTGGTATCATGTGGTAATGCTCCATCACATGTTTAAATCTATTACACAGTGAATATTGAACTGAAGCTTGACTTTAAAAAACATTTATCACAATGGCAATATCTATCAGAAAAATCGCAATTAGATATTTTCCCCAAATCGTTCAGCCCTAGTTAGCGCACACTGGACTTGCAATTCAGAGGTTGCAGGTTTGAATTCTCGGTGAGGCAGTTGAAACAATGGGGAAGTTTATTTAATCCCTCCCCTCCCGCCTCTTGTCTACCCAGCAGCATAAAGGGATGCGCGCTCTGCAGTTAGTTGACTGGTAGGGAGCATAGACGGGTAATGTGTGGGTACGCCCACCTCTTCCGAGGCACTGGTCAGCGTGGTAGTGTAGACCAAAACACCCTGTAGAGGACCCTGAAGAACTCCCTCTAGTGTAGGCCCTTCCGTCAGCAGTTGCTTGAGCAAGACATCCCCGTTAGGGTTTGCTGTCCTTACCCTGCACTAGAGGTCGCAACCGGGTACCCGATACCCGGCTACCCGTACCCGGCCAGGTACGGGTACGGGTACCAGTTTGCGACCCTGGTGCGGACGGGTATGGGTACGGGTAGGCCGTGAGTCACTGGTGAGTAACCGTTTGTCACTCATTTCGGGTAGGGTACGGGTATGGAACGGGTACCCATTTGCGACCCTGGTGCGGCCGGGTACGGGTAAGGAATCAAAACCCGTTTGCGACCTCTACCCTGCACCTCCGATTAGCACGGTTGGCTACGTACGGTGCGATAGAGCTACATACAGTGCGAAAGAAGTTCAATATGATACGTACAACACATATAGTACATACAAATTGAAGGACTATACCACGTTTATGTTCTAGGATAAAGTATATTACATGTAATTTGCATTTATAAAATACATATACGTATTGTTATATGCAACGTTTGGATTCATTTTATTTAACGAACGTGGATTGGTTTCGTATTTACACATTCATGTGTAAATAAAACCAGTCAACAAAAACCAGCGCTCACTGGCTCAATCAATGAACTCGAGGCACACTCATCCATCTTCATTGGTCCAAAGCCAGTGGTGGAAATTCCACATTTCCGTGGCTGGTACCATTACCTCCTCGACGTAATAAAACCCTCTTTGCCAAGCAGTGCAGCCCCGCCAGATGGTGCTCATTTTAGTGACCCCCCAAGGAATGGAGATGGCATGATTAAGATGATGGGGCTGAGTCAACCCTGACCGGGATTTGAACTCATGACCTCATGATTGGGAGCCCTGCTGTTCCACCAACTGAGCTACTTCCTGGCCATAAAGGCCAGCCAGGAATGCCTAATTAAACATTCGTGTATGGGGGAGGGGTGTGTGTGATTGTGGGGAGTGGTAGGGTAGCTGTTACCACGCTATGCTACGAACCCAGCAAACCAAGCTCGAATCCCGCTCATAACCAACACCAGTAATGATTATCTAAATCGGTCCCGGGCCTCCCCTAGGTCGACTCAGCCTCAAAATGAGTACCTAACTGTAAACTATTTTTTATTTGACCAGGTATGGTCCATAGAGCTACTTAGCTCTTTTTCAGAAGCAACCTGGCCACAAATGATAGCTCAACTAAGTGGCTTATCAAGTGGATATATAGCAGCCAAACACTCAAAAAATGTTTCTAAATGTGGAGGGAAAAACAGAAAAAAATTCCACACGACCACGTGAACAACATGCAAACTCCATCTATACAAGCGTTAGGGTCGTGATCAAATCCAAACCTTCCTGTAAACCAGGCGAAGTAGTTCACATCTTGCCACCATGATGGGGAGCCAAAGGCATTCGGGCATGGTGCTGGCCTCCCATCCCCTCGTGTACCGTGTTGGCCTTCATAGGTGCTCACGAACAGCATGCCCAAAAAGTCTGTTTAGGCTATACGGGGGATCTTTGTCTTGTGTGTGTGTGATCAACATTCGAGCCTTATTACATTGTATGCTCCACGATCTGTAGATGCAGCGTATGCGCATGTGAAATTGTGCATTAAACAGCCCTCTGTCAATCCACTGCTGGATGACAGCCACCCCAATCCATATGGGTCGTCAGGCTTATTTGACCATATTTCACTGCGTTGGTTAATGCGGCAGCATAGAAGTACTGAACAATATTGGATTTTGCTGCACTGGCCTCTGCTAACCAAAATATATAGCTGCAGCAGCCTATGAAACCCGTTTAATCCATGATGGTCACTCACCAAAGCATTGTCTAGACAACCCCGATTAGTTTCTGAGATTTTATGAGATTGGGCGCATTCAGGTGGATTGGGTGTTTATTATGTGTAAATAATGTACAGATAATCGTAAACAATTATATAAACACATGTATTATACACTGTAACGTATAATATGTAATTACATTATGATATGACTCACAACCGGAATTTCACGTGCTCCAATCCAAATAGAGGGATAACTGTGCTCATCACACTTCTACAGCCGATAAAATTAACGACCACATTGTCAGTGAATGTCCTATGTACAGACCGACCCTTTAATAAGAATAATTTCAACTTGTAATGCCCACAGTATTTACTCACTCTCATAGAGAGAGACAAACCCAGAGGAGGCGTGATGGACCACAGACAATCAGGAGAGCAGCGATGCATTGAGCCAGTGCCAACAATTGGCCAAGCTCTGCGGTCCTCTATATATTAAGGCGGTATCATCCAATTCATGAGTGTTTACATGTAGGAGAAAACCGGAGCACCAAGAGAAAAGCCACGAGTGCGAGGAGGGAAACACCATCCCATGCATATTGAACAGATGGAGTCCACATTTGTGCTGTATTGCTTTGCCTTGGCAAGCCAGGGAATGGCACCTTGATGCCCGAGGGAGATTCGCAACATTTGGGCGATCCACCAACCGCTTGCCGCTACAGTGCTGG